AAAAAAAAATAAAATAAACATGTATGTTATGTATATGTATATATATATATATATATATATATAGTAATAATATTAAAATAAGATTTAGTCAAATAAGAAAAAATAACATTTTAAAAAACTGACTATAACAATAAATGATTCATATTATATTTACTTTTTTATAAAAATATATAAAGTTCATTTAAAACTTATTTGAAATACCAATGAAATATTAATATTTATTTTTAATCATTCAAAATTTAGGAGTAAAATATGTAAAAATTATGCAAAGTTATTTAACTAAACATACAAGAAAAATTAATGTCTATAAATTGAGTAACATTAATAATTGGAAGATGATGCCATATGTAAACGAACAAAGATTTTTAAGAAGAAATAATTCCATTAGGTTAGATAAATCTTTTACTGACGCAATTAAAAAAGATGAAGAAAAAAAAAAAAACAATAATGTAATTGATAGTATTTGTTCAGATTACTCAAATAAAACAAAAAATGAATTTAGTTATAATATAATACCAAATGAAATGTATAAAAAAAAGTATGAAAGAATATTATTAATAGAAAAATATACTAAATATGATGATTTAAAAAAACAAGGTTTTAAGGATGATTACATTTTAAAAAATTTTTTTAGAATATATATATCTCATTTTACGCACACCCTTATAGTAAATAATATAATTCATATATTAAGAACAAAATATAAATCTCATGTTTCTATATTAAAAGCTTATAAAAAAAATATAGATAATATTTTTATAAGTAGTTCTAGTGTTTTTTCTCCCGATGCCATATTTAGTGTTGGTAAGTTTTATAATTTTAAAATATCATCTTTTAAAAAAATATGTATCCATTTATACTTTCATAAATATATTTTATTCTATATAAAGATATTAGCTCATATTTATTTAGATATTTTTGTAAATATAGTTATGCATTCATTCATATATACTCTTATAAGTAATAATACATTTTTGTATAAATATAATTATGTAAATTTGTATATTTTCCAATTTTATATTAAGGTGGAGATGGAACATATTTAGAATCAGCCCATATAATAGCTAATAAATATATAATAGATGAAAACACAAATAGAAAAAATAAAAGAATTGAATTAATAGGAATAAATAGTGATCCTAAAGGATCTGAAGGAAAGTTATGCTTAGACTATTTAAATTGCGAACCAGGAGATGAAATTAATTATGATTATGAATCATTTGAGCAATTTGAAAAAATATACAATAGAAGGAAGAAGAAAGCTAATGTTATATTTACTGATGTTTCTAATTTTATCAAAAAATCAAAAGAAAAAGAAAAAAAAAAAGCGATGAATAATGAAAATGAAAAAGTAGAGAAAGAAGAGAAAATTTTTGAAAATATAAGTGCAATAGATAATATTTTACGGAATAATAGCTTGCGTTATGATGAATTAACAGGAGGTCCTTCTCTAAAAAGTTATGATGATTTTCATTTTTATCTCAAAAATAAAAATAACATCAATGAAGAAAAACGAGAAAATGAAGATAATAAAAAAAGTGATTCGTTTCCTGATAAAATTGACTTCTTATCTAATGAAGCATCTGAGAAACATGAAAATTTAATCATTAGTGTTGAAGAATATGCGAAAAAAACTTTAAAAAATTTTTTTGAAACAGATAAATACAAAAAAATATATAGGAAATACATAACTGTTTTAATAAAAAAATCTGATAAAGAAGTGAAAACATATAAAAGTATTAATGAGGTGTATATATATGAAGCAGTAAAAAATAATATATGTACATATATAAATATTGATAACAAAATTCTTAAAAAATTAAAAAGCACAGCTTTATTAATAACAAGTGGTACAGGATCCACTGCTTGGGCATATAATGTAAATAAAATAGATAAGAAAAAAATGAAAAATATAATTGAAGAATTTTTAAATTCTCAAAATGATATTGTAAAGAAAAATATAAAAAATATAAATTTTGACTTATTTTCAGAATACATTAACAGTTCTATTTGTTTCCATCCAAGCAGCAAATACATGAAATGTATAGTAAAGGAGCCTGTAGAAAATAATGTTTATGATTCAACTGATCACATATATAATTGTAAGTATATTAACATAAAAATATGTACTAGTAATACTATTGTTTATATAGATGGTATATATAACATTAAAATTCAACCTAATGATTCTGTTATACTGCATATAAAAGATGATGATTTCATTGTAACTTATAAATAGATTAAACTTTTTTATTTTGTCTTTTGTAAATGTAATTTAAAGTATTTTTTTTTTTTTTTTTCTCGCATTTTCTTAATATTCACTGATTACATTTGTTATCTTTTTAAAAATAAAACATATTTTTAATTTCTTTTTTATATTTATTGAACATATTTTAATTTTGACTTCATTTAATATTATATGCAGTATTCATAAATATATTAATTTCACATTAACGTTTTAATAAAAAGTGTAAGTATATATTAAATAACATATATTTTATTTTATTTTTTTTTTTTTTTATTGTCAATATTTTAATAAATGTTACAATTACTATTTAATCATTAACATATTGTTTATATATTCTTATTTTATTTTCAACTTCAATTTTTTTTCGTTAATAATAATATAATTAAAAAAAAAAAAATAAATACAATTTTATACGTTTTTCTTACTAAATAGAACAATACACATTTAAAAGATGTTAGAAAATATAAATTTCAAATAATTATATTTAGAAAATATATATAAAGCATTTAAAAATATAGTATGATTTGTATTGTAATTTATATTATTTCTTTTCTTTTAAAAATGTATTCAATTCATTTTAAGAAAAAAAATTTCCATTGTAATTAAGTTAAAAATATAAATTTTAACAAAAATTTCACATATCATATAAAATTACATAAAAGCCTAAATTTAAAGTTGTAAAAAAAAAAAAAAAAAATATATATATATATATATATACATGTAATAAGTATATTTTTGTTTTTCGTTTTCATATCTATAATTGATAAAATTATAATTTCTTGTATATTTTTTCATTAATAAGGTATTTATACTTAGCTTTATATATATATATATATATATTTATTATTGCTTTATTAATTTATAGTTTGTTAAATGAAACAATTTCTGCTGATTGAACTAAGAAATCTAAATCATCCTCAACTTCAATATCCTCTGTTTCACTCATTTCATCAGCATCTTCGTTTTCTTCATCTAATCCCAATATCAATGTTCTTTTTTTCCTGTCTTCTTCATTATCTAAGTCTATGTTTTCTATTTTTTCTATCAAATCATTTGTGTTAACAAAATCATCATAAATGATACATGACATTTGAAGTTTATATAATCCAAATGCAACTGGAATTTTTTTTACTTCCTCTCCCCATTTTATATTTTCATCAACAATTTTTTGTTTCACAAGTTTAGAAATTTTAGATATATCTGTATCTATTGATTTCGGCTTTATCTCAATAATTAATATTGATCTATGTTTATCTTTTTCTTTTTGTTGCTTTTTTTTAAGTTCCTCTTCTTTTTGTTTTTTTTTTTCTAATAAAATATCCTTATCACAATCATCATTATCACCAAAAAGATCTATATCATTATCAACATCGTCATCATCATTTTTTGTTTCATTAATTTTCTTTTCTGGTAGGTTGTTTTTTTTTACTTTTTCATTACATTTATTGTATTGATTAAAAATATGAGTAGGCAAAGAACTAATGTGTTTATACCAACGATATAAATGTGGATACTTATCTTTATTTATTGTAGTTGTTATTTGATTATAAATTTTTATATCAGAAGTACTTAACATATAATTCTGATAATATGAATGATCAGCAAAAAAAGCATTTAGCTTATTGTAATCATTTTCTCCTTGAACATTTAATAAATTTGCATTGTTTGCCATTTTTCCAAAAATATAATTTAAATATATTATGATGTCAAAAAACAATAAATTATATTTTATACTGATATAAATAAATATCAAATAAGAAATAAAGATTATATAATTTTATATATTTACCTATAGATGAAAATTATATTTTTTTTTTTTTTGAAATAAAAATAAACATTACATAGATACAATACAATTTATATATTTACAAAATATAACTGAATATATACTTGTTTTTATTCTTTTTTTAAAAAAAAAAAAAAAAAAAAAAAAAAAAAAAAAATTTTTTTTTCATGCGAATTTTTTTTTTACCTTTTTTTTTTTTTTTTTCTCAAAGGAATAAATATAATGAAAATAAATAAAAATGATAATAATGCTTAATCTTAAGTTTAATTTTTTCTTTGTTTTCTTTTATTTAATATAATTTTCATTTTTTTTTTTTTTTATAATGATTTCTGGTTTTATTCAGTAATAATATATTTTTTATTTTATTTGATATTTTCTTATGAATGTATTTTTCTTCAATTTTTTAAAAAAAAATTATTCTAATGATTGAAAAGTTAGAAGTTAATAATTTTCTACATAAATTAAAAACTCAATTTTTTTTTTTTTTTAAATTATAGTTGTAATAATATATCAAATGAGAAAAATTTATTCTTATATTTTTAAATTATTATAATTACATATAAGAAGAATATAATTTTTCATATTTTCTTTATTACTTGGATCTAATAATACATAGGTATTTTTTTATTTTAGGAAAAAAAGAGATAAAAGATAAAAATATCATTTTTTAAATATAATAAAAACAATTTAGAAGTAGTTTAGTCAATATTTTCATATTATTATTTATTGATTATTTATAACAATTAGAATTTATATTCTACAAATTATTAAAAGTGAAACGTCCTAATTTCACAAAAAATATAATTATATTTTCGAAAAAATTTTCATATTTATAATTTTTTTTTTCTTTTTCAAATTTATTTATATTTATTGATAGATGAACTTTTATAGACGTTATATAAATTGAAAAAAATAGATTATTTTAAAAAGTGTATTATATAATTTAATAAAAGTAATATTTAAAAAAAAAAAAAAAGGAAATGAAAAGGAGATTAGATGCTAAGAGTATTTGTGTTGCTGCTATTATAGGAGTGTGTAGCGGATTTTATATATTTTATCCAATTATAAATAATATGAATGAAAATATTAATAATATAAAAGCAAAAAATAACAAATCTGTGAAATAGTATTTTCTTTTTTATTATTTTAATTCTTTTTTTTTTTTTTTTTTTTTCTCTTCATTTGTTTTTATTTTAATTATTTTTAATTTCCGTATATAATATTTTGTTTATAAATTTTTAAAAGAAAGTTAAAATATTGAAAATAATCTTTTATTTAAAATTGTAAAAATAGTATGATCATTTTTCCATTTATATTAAATTTTTTTTTACATATGCATAAATAAAAAAAAAAAAAAAAAAAAAAAAAAAAAACATTATTAAAACATATAAAATGAATAAAGTTAAAATAAAAATGAACAATATAAAAATAAAAAAAAAAAAAAAGACAATTTTAATAAATGTTGTAAAAATCGCAGAGAAAAGTGATGTGTTATTTACATATAGAAATAATAATATATATGTTCATATGCTTAATTTTTTTTTATAACATTAATTATAATTAACGAAAAAAAAGAAATTATGGAAAAATATATTGGTGAATTTTTTAAATTTTAATTTTATATTTTGATTATATAAGAAAGAAAAAAAAAAAAAAAAAAGAAAAATATTTGAAATGGTTATAAATAATATTGATGAAATTGTGAAATTTACAAATGGAAAAATTGATTTTTTTATATTACAAGATAATGCATGTTCTGAAAAATGTCCTATAAATAATCCCTATGATGAATATTCAATAAATAATGTTTTTTTAAAAAAGGAAAAAGAATTTTACAGTAGAAATAAAAAAAAAATAGAAAACTTAGATTATTATATTAAAGAATATAAGAAGTTTAATGAAAGAAAAAAGATACAATTGAAAAGAAAGAAAAATGTAGACGATAATAAAAATGAAAATTTAAAAGAAAATTCTTCTGAAAATAAAAGTATATTTAAATATATAGAAGAAGACGAAGAATTAAATGATAATCTTAGTGAAAATAAAAGTAATGAATTTTCTGATGGTTCATATGTATATAAAAGTGATACAACTGTTTCTCATTGTTATGATAATTTAGTAAACTGGATGTATTGTCGTTTTAACTCATTTAATATTAATATATATGTTAATTCACCAAATAATATATTTAAAGAAAGTAAAAATATATTTATTATAAAAGAATTTAATAAAGAAAAAATAAATGCATTAAAAGATATATATTCAACATATACTGGTTTAAATACAACTTATGGTGTATTTTTTTATACAGTTAACTATTGTATAATGCTTGCTTTAGAATGTAATAGAATAGATCTACTAAAAAACAAAATGAAGAATTTTAAAATTCTTTATAAATTTGAAAATATAGAGAAATATGTTTTTTTAAAAAATAATTTAAAAGACATTGATAATATAGATAAATCGAATGTATACTTAACATGGAAATATCCAAATTTATTTTCGAGTTACTCATTTATTGATGAAAATAATTTTTTTCAAAAAAATAAAACAAAAAAATTATTTAAAGAAAGTTTTTTATGTTGTAAAGATTTTGACAAGATAAATATAGAAAAAAAATGTTGTGAAAATAAGTCTAATGAAGAAAATGAAAATATAAAAAATAAGAAAAGTGATGAGGAAGATATAAGAAAAAAAGGAACAATATATAAATATGATAGAATATCATTTCCTAGAAGAAATTTAGAAGTTATACATCTTAACAACAAACTAAGCTTAAAAAACATTTTTGCTATTTATCCACAATTCTATTTAGATGATTTAGATTATATATATATTAAAGATGTAGGTGATATACGAAAAATAAATAACAAATGCATTGAGCATGATGAAAAATTAAAAAAAATTAAAGTTCTTCTAAATAGGAACCAAAATAATAACACTTTCATTGATGACACATATAGCAATTATCTATATTTTAGAAAAACAATTCATAATTTAAAATCTTCAATTTTACATTATGATAATAATAAAAAATATAAGAAAAAATTATTAGACGATTATAAATTTATATATAAAAAAATTAATTCAAATTATATAAAAGAAGGAAATCAAAAAGGAGAAAAAAAAAAAAAAATTTTTCTACTTTTGAATAAGGAACTAAATTATTATCCTTATTTTTTTTATGATAACAAATACTCATATCATTTTAAAGGGTTTTCTTATATAGGTGAAGATTATGGTTACCATGAATATCAGAATTACTATATTCACAACATTGAAAATAAAATATATTTCGTTCTCCCATTAGCATACAACTACACCTTGATATCAATAAAAAATGAACCAATTTGTTTAATAAGAGGATATGGAAAAAAATTTTCTTTTTATTTTCCTTATGATTATAAAAAAGGTGAAGTAATTTATCCGCAGGATTTCGAACAATCAAATGAAAAGTATGAAAAAAATGATAAAAAAGAAAATTATAAAGAAAGGCATGTTGAAAATAATTTAAATAAAATATATTCTCTCTCATACAACTACTTTGATGACACCATTATAGCAGGTTCAAAAAACTGTATTTTCATTTTTGATATACATGATCCTATATTCAAAAAAAAAATTACTCTTCTAAACAAAGAAAAAAAAAAAATTGGAAAAATTACTTCTATTTGTTTGGTTCATTATTATGAAGAACTTCAAAATAAAGATAATGAAATACAACAAATAAATTTATCAAAAAATGATGAATTATATGATAATAAGATAAATGAAACAAAAATGAAAAATAATAAAGTATATAGCAAAAATATGGGAAGAAAAAAAGAAGAAAAATTCTTGTCTAAGGAGCATTATCAATGTAAAAGTTTAATAAAAAAGTATTTCAGTAAATATGAAAAAATAAAACAAAATATATTTTTCATTGGAACAAATAAAGGAATAATTTATATGTTTAATGAAAAAGAGGAAATATTAGATGAAAATAAAAATAATTATATTATAAGTAAAACATGTTTTATAACTTTAAAAAATTCATCAGTCATACAAATTATGTATTATGATGAAAAAAAAATAATAGCAAGTTCATTAAACGACATATTCATAAGACTATATGGTTTAAATAGTAAATATGATAACACAAAATTTTACAGAGAAAATAGAGATAATCAAAAATACCATTTTGACATATTAAAGGATTTTCTTTTTACTGGAGACTTATATGGGAATATTTTAATTTATGATTTAAAAAATAAAAATATGATTTTCAAAAAAAAATTAACATATTCTCCAATTATTTGTGTAAGTATTAATAAATTACTACCATTGATGTTAATTGCAACTTCTTACAATTATTCTCACAGTGTATCTAATTATATATATAAAAAAAATAAAAAGATAATTATTAATAATGCTTATAAAAATAAAGGTATAGAAAATGCATCTAAATCAATTTTTATGACATCCATGAGTTTATGGTATATTTATGAGCTATATAATTTATATTCATAAAAAGTAAAAAAAAAAAAAAACAAATCTAAAAACTATTTTTAATTTTTCAAAAATTATATATTTTTTCAACTATTTCCTTGTATATTTTTTTTTTTTTTTTTTTTTCTTTAAAAATATTTGTGGAATTTTTTTTTAAAAAAATATAAAAATTTTTTTTTTTGTATTAATATTTATGTTCTCCAAAACTTTTTAGTTGTAAGATTTCTTTATTTTTCATATTTTATATGTTATACTTTTTTGTATTTTATATCATATCAAATTAGTAATTCAAACTTAGAAATATCTTAAAATTACAATCTTACTAATCGATATAAAAATATAGAAGAATGTTTATTTTTTCAAAAGGAGAAAAAAAAAAAAATTAAGTGAAAATATGTTTTATATATATTTCATTAATTCACCAAAATTCTGTTATAATCAGATATATTATAAAAGAACTATAAATAAAGAAAAATTATTTCTAATTAACAGAAAAAGCTTTCTGAAGAACATAAAAGAAAATGACACTATAAGAAATAATCATAAAATAAATATTGATGAGCAAAAAAATAATAAAAAAACCAGAGTAACATCTTATATTTTTAGTAAGTTCAGTCATATTTTTAATGAAAAGAATAATTTTCTTAAAAGAAAAAATATAAATTTTCTTGAGAATTTCTCTATTCATAAAGATTTAAAAAAGAAAAAAATAGCCTTGTTAAAAGCATATAAAAAAAAGCAAAGATATTTAAATTTTTCTAAAAATTATCTTATAAATGAAAAAAACAAACTAAAATACAAAAAAGTATGTGTATACAATAATTATTTGAATGTAAAAAAAAATAAAAATAATAATATTTTAAAAAAAAATTATTCTAGTGAAGAAAACTCCAATAAAAACAATATATATAATGGAAACAAAAGTAAATATTATTTAAATGAAAATGATAAAAGTAGTAAAAATGTACATGATGGTTATGCTAGTTCAGATAGTGTAAACTACATTTTAAATGAAAACACATTAGTAGAAAATAATACCAATTTCGAAAATAAAGATATGAATGAAAAAATAGATAATAATACTAATTATTCTTTTATATTTGACACCAACGATGAATATGACCCTAATAAATTTTTAAATGTGTTATATTTTTTAATTGAAAAAAAAATAGATATTAACGATTATATAGAAAAAGAATTAAATAGAAGAATGACATATTTTATAAAAAAATGTAATGATATTAAAATGATATTTTTATTGTTGCATACTATGAATAAATTAGTTTGCATAAATAATTTAATTAACAAACTACATGATCATATATATAAAATTCAAGATTCTGAATTGTTATCAATATTTGTACGTATTCTAATTAATTCAAATTATCAAAATAAAAATTTACTATTTTTTATTTTAAACAAATTAAAGGAAAATATAAACTTAAACATCTGCTCAACATTAACAGTCAGTAATGCATTTTATAGTTATTCAACATTGTATCAAAGAAATTTAATAGACTTAGAACAAATTCCCTTACAACAAATAATTCAAATAATTTCTAATTATTATAGTTCCTTTTCATATATACAGCTTCTTGAAATAGTTGATGTTTTTCAAAATTTTAAATTCATTAATAAGGATACAGATAAAATTTTATATAAAAGCGTATCGAACTTATTTTATAATATAGGTAATTATTTTATTAATAATGATATAATAAAATCGTTAAAATTTAAAAATATTAAAGAGCTTATGTATTCTTATGCTAAAAACAAAATATACCATGAAAAGTTATTTTTATACTTATATCCCCCCTTATTAGAATATATAAGAAAACTTAACCATAATATAATAAGAAATAAGTTTTACACATTTTTAAATGTTAAGGATTCTGATAAAAGTGATTTGAATGAAAAACTAACAAATAAAATAAAGCTAGATGATAGCATTAAAAATGAAAAAGAACAGAAAGATATAAAAAATAATTTGTTTCATGATGATAATAAAATATTAAATAAAAATTATGAATTAATAATTGATGCTAGTAAAAATGTTACTGATATTTTGTATTCTTTTAGTAAGTTTAATATGTACATAGATGAATTATATAATGAAGTTTTATTATTTATGCAGAATTTTTATAAATATATAGATTGTTCAAATATGTCACAATGCTTAATATCATTTACGAAAACAAATTGTAACATATCAATGCTTTTATCTAAAATCCATTATGATAAATTCAATGTTAATTCTAATTATAATAATTTTTTTAGATATGCTAGCTCTATTGATTTAATGAATTTTCTACTAGCATTTAGTAGAAACTTATATTTTGAAAAAGATGTATATAATATAATTTCTGAGTTACTATTGAAAGGAAAAATTTATTCATTAGAGGCTTCTGATTTAATTAATATTATTCATGCTTATAGTAAAATTTATTATATAGATGAAAAGTTATTTTTAACTGTTGATAATATTATTTGTTCTAGACTTGATAGAAATGATAATTATTTAACAACAGAACTAGCTATTAAGTATTTAAATGCTTGTGCTAAGTTGTCTTATAAAAATGAAAAAATTATTTATAAAACAATAGAAATATTACATAGATATAATTTTGCTAATATAAAAATATTTGATTTATTTAAAGTTTTAAAAAGTATTAAAAAACTAAATTTATCCTTTGAAAGTTTAGAGTCTTATATTAAAATGATTGCACCTAATTATGCTTTTGATTTTTCTAAATATACTAATTACTACTATAAAACTACAAAGGATATTCATATAAGAAAAAAAAAATGGATTTGGTAAATAGCTATATCAGTGAAAAAATATATATACATTTCATCATGAAAATATATATTAATATTTAAATATAAAATATAATATACGTAAAAAAAAAAAAATTTTTAAAGTATCTATAGGAAAAAAATTAATACATGCGATGATAAAATGTATGTAAATTTTTAAACATTTTTTTTTTTTTTTTTATACATTTAATCTTTATTATATAAAAATTAAAAATAAAAAAATTAATTATAATAAAATAAAATTTTTACAATTGTTTTGGTTTAAAATACAACATCAATTATAATTTTTTAAAAAAAAAAAAAAAAAAAAAAAAAAAATTAACATTTTAAGATAAAAAGAACTTGATCATTTTTAATTTTTTGTTTATTCATAAGTTTTTTTATATTTTCTTATAAATTTTTAATTAACATTTTAATAAATATATATATATATATTTTTTCATTAAATGAAAAAAAAATTATTTATTATATGGTAAAATTAATATTTTAAATAATAATAATATAATTATTTGAAAAAATTACATTTCTTTAAAATAATTCAAATATGGCAAAAGGACTGAGATCAAAGGTTAAAAGAAGATTTAGAACAATAAAAAGAGTTCATGTAAATGGTAACACTACATATATATAATATGCTTTTATAAAAATTAACATAAAACTTTTTATACTCTTTATTTTTCTTTTTTTTAATATAGAAGTTATAGAAAAGCCTAATCTAAAGAAATTAAATAACAAAATAAAATTGATGCTAAATAATAGTTAAAATAATGAAATAAATAAATACATAATAATAAAATATCTTATTTAATTTTTTTTTTTTTTTTTTTTTTTATATATTTAATATAGAAAATATATATGAAGATTTAATTAAACCACCAAATAAATTTTTGTATCCAGGTAAAGAATACTACATAAATATGTATATATATTTTTAATTATATAATTATTAAAAATTTTATAAATATTTAAATGTCTCAAAAAAAAAAAAAAAAATGTATATATGAATTAAATTAAATAAAGATGCACATCAATATGAAAAAAATTAAAAGGATAAAAATTTAAAAATAATGTGTAATAAATTATATCACTAATTGTTTATATATATAATAATTTTATGAGATATAAATGTTGATATAATAAAGAAATAGTAGTATATATAGAATAAATTTTCATTGAAAAATTTAAGATTTTTTAATATTCTTTATTATTTTTATTTTAAATGATAAAAAGAAAGAAAAAAATAATATCTAATGTATCCTTTTGTTTATAGAGGATGAGAGAGCTGTAATACCACAACATAAAGTTACAAAAAAAATTGATTTTCGGTCTGAAGCATTACCATTATCCGGTATGTAGTTAACTTTTTTTAATTTTTACGTTTTTTAAAGATTTTCATTTCATTTTATATTCTTCGATTTTATGTAGATTTAATATTAGAAAAATTAGCGAATTTATATACGTATAATATTAAAAAATAATATCAAATTTTTATTAATATATATTTTAAATATAGGTTTAGTAACCGTAGGAAATAGAAGAAAATACAGCTTAAATGAAAAAATTGAATTAAAAAATGAAATGGGAAACAATCCTAATTTTTATGATAATATAGAAGTTAGTAAAATTATTGATGATATGCACAAGAGATCAAGAGAAGTAATGAAAAAAATTAATAAAAAAGAAGATAAAAATGAAAAAAGAGATTTTTAGTTATTTCCTTTTCTAAAGAGGCTTTTAATTATGAATACCTTTATGCCCTTTTAATTTGATTTATACATTTGCTTATTTATTAATATGTTTATATATTTTATATACAATATTTAATTATAATGTGTATTTTTATAAATACATATATGTCTACTTATATATTTTTAATTTTTTTAAATACAGTAAAAATTTTATAAATTTAAAAAAAATATAATTTTTTTTCATTTTTAAGTAACATATAAAAAAATTTTTTACTTTTTTGCATTTAAAAAATTTTAAATGTATTTAATTTTATTTCTTAAGGTTTTTTTTATCGTTTAAAGGAATTTTTACTGCGGTAATTCTTGTATAAAAATGTTCTTAAATAACAAAAGTTATCGCATAGAATTCTTACAAAATAGTATTAAAAAATAATTCCTTTAACATATAAAAATTAATCTGGTATTATTTTTTCCTACTTCTTTTAAATGGTTATATGCTTCATTAAAAATAAAAACTTTAAATATTTTTGCATTTTTATTACTTTGTACTTGAATCCTCTTTTGATTCTTTTTCTTTGTATCTTTTTTTTCCTTTTTCCTTTTCTTTCTCTTTTTCCTTTTCCTTCTCTTTCTCTTTTTCCTTTTCTTTTTCTTTTTCCTTTTCCTTCTCTTTTTCCTTTTCTTTCTCATTTTCTAAAAGTTTTTTTTTTTCTGAATTGATTTTATTTTCTATTTTGTTATTGATAAGGTTATGAAGAGCTATAACTGATCTAGTTATGCTTCCTATATAAATATTAAGCATTAAATCATTATTTTTAACCATAAATGCTTCAATTAGTTCAGCATTTTCTATATCTGGTAATATACTAAATATATTTTGTAAATTATATAATATTTTTATATTCATTTCTATATTCCCATTTAAAATATCATTTAAGTAGGATGAAATTTCATATAATTTAGATATTAGACTTTTTAAGGAAGAAAGTTTATCACCAACTTTAGTTGCTAAAGTTGATGTAGAAACACTTTTTAATTCTTTTAATAAAAATTCAACTCCTACTTCTTCAGCTTCAAAAGCTCCTATTTATGAAGAAATTACAAAATAAAAAAGCATATATAATTTACTTGCATCTAGCTATAATAATTTAAAAATTACTATTTATACATATATAATTTTTTTTTTTTTTTTTTTTTTTTTTTTTTTTTTTTTTTTTTTTTACCTATGGTAACAGGAATATGTATAAATGTTTTTCTGAATTTATTGTCATGTATAGCTTTTTCAATAGCTACATATGCATTAACAGGAAATATACTTTGATCTGTGTGCACATTAACAAGTAAGAAAATTGGAGCATGATGATATTTATAAAAGATTTCATTTATAAAAATATCATTTGGTTTAATATTTGACCCTGTTGTATACCATCCTACTATTTTTTCTCTAGTATTTATTTTTCTAATCATATTAAACAAATTTTCATTGTAATTATCATCAATATAAAAAATATTTATATCTTTTATATCTTCTTCAAATGGCAATGCATAACTATTTGTTATATGCACAACACCATCAATCTTTTCACCCAATATTGTTCCTAAAACTCTTTTTTTTGTATTACTAGCAATACGATTATAATGATCAACAATTGATAATAAAACTATTGGATGAACAACAACATGCTTATTTAAATATATACGTTCTAATACATTTCTATTTTTTTCAAATATATCATTTTCCATTTTTATTTATTATTTATACATATATATGCATTAAATATAATACATAAGATGATTAATATTCATAAGGAATTAAAAGGAAAAATTTGTATATATTTATATGTTTATAATCAGTATATAATTATGCAAATATATATATATATATAATTCGTGTTTCAACTTATGATTGATAAATAATTCTTAAAAAAAAACTAAATAAAAACTCATCATAAATGTATTTTTATTTTATTAAAAATATATATGAAAATGTTTATTTTTATGAAACTTTATATGCATATTACGTTTTAAGTTTTGGGAAACATAAAATTGACTGAAAATATATATAAAAAAAAAAATACAATAAAATAAATGAAATGTGTTGAAAAAAAAAAAAAAAAAGAAAAATATCACAAAACTTACTCTTGATAAAATTAAAATTAACTAAATTTCAAATAAAATTAAAAAAAAAAAAAAAAAAAATTACAAAACTAATGATAAAAGGAAAAAAAAAAAAAAAAACTACACTAAAAATGCGCAATTGAAAAATACTAAAAATTTTTATTCATATATCATACATATACATTCTTAGTAAGTCACCCATTATGATAAATAAATAGGATTTAAAAATATAACATTTGAATAATTCTTTATAGGATTAATTTAAACTTTAAAAAATCTAGATGATTTTAAGCAAACTTAAATATAATTTTATCTTTTTCTCAAAATAGAGATGTGAAAAAATTTAAGTGAATAATTAACAAATTATAAAATATGTGAAGTATAAGAACTTTAATAGACTTCATATTAAACATCAAAAAAAAAAAAAAAAAAAAAAAAAAATTGAAAGTATAAAACAAAGAGTTATTTTTATGAAAAAGAAATTCTTATGTTTTAAAATTTATTACACTAGTAGTGTAGATTGTTTCCTTTAATAATTGGTTATATTCTACATAGTTCTAGTTGATAATTTAATGAATATAATTTTTTTTTTTTTTTTTTTTTTTGAAAAATTACTTATTTCATATATTTGTGGATATTAATACAAAAGTATTTTATTTCTCTGTAGTTTGAAGAATCCTCAAGCTTTAAATAAATTTAAAAACATATAATAAATAATTATTTCAAAATTTATAAAATCAGAATATTTTCATAACATTTTTTTGTAAATTTTATATCTCTATTTAAATCTAGAATTTTTCAATAAAAAATTAAAAAAAAAAAAAAAAAATTCGTAGAAAAGGCTTTTTAATTTTCATTAAATATTTTTATTTGCTTTAGCATATGTTTTTTTTTTTTTTATTTTTTTATTTAATATTAATGTTTTAATTTTTATATTATTTCCAAATTATTTTTTCCATTTTTATTTTTAAATATGTTAATATGAAATTTAATGTTGTTATTAATAAAAATTCGTAATCATAAGCCTTACATGTATTCACGTTCATTGTTAGATAATTATATATATATATAGATATAAAATAAAATAAAGGAGATTAAGGGGAAAGAAAAGAGATTAAAAATGAGAATAAAAAAGCATGATTTTGTTTTAATAGATGATGGTTTGAGATATAGATTACATAAAATTGTAGATACAAAAATTAAAATAAAAAAAAACAGTATAAATTTATTATTTTTGGTTAACAAAAAGTATGGTTCTACATTTACCTTTATTAATAATAAATGGGTTAGAAGTCAAAAAAGAAATTCTAAATTAGATATAGATTACTACACTGATATTAAAGGAACTAATAAAGATATTTTTGATAATAACAATTCCCAAAAACTAACAGAGGAAAATATTGCTGAATTAAAAAAAAAAAATTATGAAAATCCATATGAAGTCATTCAAAAATTAATTGATAATTCAACAACATTTAAAGAAAAAACAGTTATCTCTAAATTTAAATATGTAGAAAAAAAATTGAAAAGACATTTATGTCAATTTACGGTCTATGAATGTAATATTGCAAATTTAGCTAACTTTTATTATAAATATTTTCCTGAAAAAATTAGTTATGTAAGAGTTGATTATTTAGCTAATATACTTTTTCATTTAAATAAAAATTTTTGTATAAATAAAAGTTTATATAACAAGGAAAGTAAAATGTTTACACAAAAAGAAAATTCATTATCTTTTTCGTGTGAATTGTATGATGATAAAATTAAATATTGTAATAATGAAGATGAATATTTGCATAATGACACATGTTTAAGTCATAATATATTAATTTATGATGACTCGTATGGATTATTAACTAGTATTTTAAATATTTATTATAATTATAATGTAAATATTTTTTCTTTAGTGTATAAAAATTCATGTAATTCCATTATACCAAGTTTTGGTATTAAAAAAAACACAAATACTGTAAAAATTAATATTTTAAATTCCTCATTAAGTCCCAAATCTGACAGTTATATCTACATTGATACTAACTATGATTTTGTTTTTAACATCAAAAATAATTCAAATTCTGAGGAAAAAAAAAATATTAAAGACGGAGATAATCATAAAATTATTAATGAAAATAACCAGTTAAATATAAATGATAAATTTTTGGTTGAAAAAGAAAAAGAAAAAGAAAATGATAATGAAAATGAAAATGATAATGAAAATGATAATGAAAATGAAAATGATAATGAAAATGATAATGAAAATGAAAATGAGAATTCTTTAAATTCTCTGAATAATGGCATCTTAGAAGAAACAAATAAAAATAAAATTATCAATGAAAATGATATAGAAAGTAATGAATATGACAATAAAAATAATTTTGAAAATAAAAGTTTTAGTGAAGATAAAAATAATTGTGATAATAAAGATAATGATAATATTATTAGCGATAATTCTAAAAATAAAAATAATTTTCAAAATCAAAGCTATAACAATGGTAATATTTGTAAAGGAAATACTAAAAAAAGAAAAATTAATATATATGATAATAATTATAGTAATAATAAAGAAATAAATCAATGTAAAAAAAACAAGAATAATGAAAATGATACTAATATAAAAAATGAATTTGTAGAAAATAATGAAATGAAAAAAAAATTATTGCATGATATTTGTCAGAAAAAGGCAGAAGCTTTTGTTATCATTTTGTCACATGAATTTATAGAAAACACTAAGACAGATGTGATTTTATTAATAGAAACATTAATTAATATATCTTTAAAATATTTAAAGAATGATAGTAAAATAATTATTCATACAGATGATTTAAATTTATCAAATTTTATTATGCAACTTTTAATTAATACAAATTCTTTTATTAATATTAAATTAAATGAATACATATTAAGGGAACAACAAGTTATAAAAAGAAGAACTCACCCAATAATCAAAAATTCAAAATTGGCTGATGGTTTTTTGTTAACAGCTTTAAAAATACAAAATTAAAACTATTAAAAAAAGACTAAAAGCTTTAAATACTTAAAATAAGAATACGTATGGAGAAAAAGTTAATTTATATTATTATTTGTTATTTTTGTTTTTATGTAGTAAAAAAAATATGTTAAATTTTATTTTTCCTTTCAATTTACATACGAAAAAAAAAAAAAAAAAAAAAAAAATTAATTTTTGAAACAAATTCTCTATATTTAATATATATTATGTTGCCCTTTAGATGATTTAAATTTATTTTTCCTTTCTTTTGATATTGTAACTTTGTCCATTTTTTTCTTTTTTTCTTCTAACTTTTTTTTTTTTAATTCTATTTCTTCTTTTTTTTTCTCATAAAAACTCCTTAAGCTTTCTGGTATTTTAACTGTACCAAAATTTTCACGTCCAATTATTTCTAAAAATTTTTTATCTTTATTTAATTTTACTTTTTTTAAATAAGTTATCATTTTACATAGGGATAATAGTATGTAAGTTTAATTATTAAATATATAAATTTAAAAACTATAACAAATTAAATCCAAAAATACTAAATATATATATATATATATAAAACTTTTAAGTATTACTATTTTCAAATGAAGAAATATAAAAAAAAAAAAATTTTTTTTATTTTTCAAAATTGTTTTTATTTCAATTAGACGTTTTTTAAAAAAAGTTTTTTCAATATATGTATATAAAAATGAACATTTAAAAATCAAATAATGAAAAAAATATTTCAAAAAATGAAGCCTTAAAAATATTAATAAAAAAAACAAAAAAAAAAAAAAAAAAAACCTTATATTGAAATTCAAATTATGAATTGTTTATAAATCTTTGTGATAAGATTGTATATAAATCAATAATATAAAATATTATATTATCTAAGAAATTTTTTATTGCACAATTTGTTTAAAAAAGGAATAATTTTTTTTAAATACAGTTAAAAAAAAAAAAAAAAAAAATTTTATTTAATGAATGAATCATTAAAAAGAATTTTTTTTTTTTTTTAACGAAATTAATAATAAATATATATATAAATAATTATATAATTTTTACTTGTATAAAGAATGGTTTAATAACCTGCAAATATAAAAATTAAAATTAAAGCTATACAAACGCACCTTATTTTGAAAATTTTCCAGGAAAATTATTTATTAAACATAAATCTGAATTAGTTAAAAAATTCAAATTAGTAATAGAATTATCATGAAGATTTATTTGACTGTTATCAAATAAATGTGTTTTATCATTTTTCGAAAGACCGATAGTACTATTTAAATCACTTAGACTTAAATCCTCGTCTTTATTATTAATGGCTACTGTTTTTTTGTAATTTATTTTTAACTTTTTTTTAAGGTTTTTAAAAAATATTCTGCAATTCTTATCATTTATATCTTCATCACTTGAATCTTTTATTTCTTTACTTATATTTATGAAACTATTTATTTCTTTCCTTTCGTCTACCGAATGTTCGCTTGTATTATCCAGTAAACTATTCGAATCAATATTATTTGATATAATTTCGTAATCTTTTTTTTTGAAATTCATATAGATTTGCTTTTTTTTATTACTATAATTATTTATATTTTGAATATTAGTGTATTTAAAATTGTTGTCATTTATATTCTCATAGTAAGACAAATGAAATTTACTCTTATATATATTCTTATTTAAACTATTAGAATTTAAATTATAAGTAGCTGTATAAAATCGCTCAAGTAAATTGGAGCTTTTTATATCATCATTAATTACAAATGAAAAATTCTTCGATAAATTTTTCGAAAGTTTTCTCGAAAACTTATTTATTCTAGAATATTTTAAAAAATCCAATAAAGAATCTGATTTTGATCTTAACAAGCACTTTTGAAATATTTCATCTTTTTCTTTTAATATTTTTTTTTTGTAATATATGGTAAAATCATCTGTGCCATATATTTTAGGTTTTCCAAAACACAAATTTTCAAAATTCTTTTTTGATTTATATTTTTTTGTTAAAATTTTTGTAAAATTTAATTTACTATTTTTATCTTGCATATCTTTTTTAGAATTTTTGTTTATTCTTTTCAATTCATTGAAAAATAGTATAGAAATTTCCTTTTTTTTTTTATTTAAAATTGTTTCTAATAAAGATAAAGAATAAATTTTCATATTAATATACTTCCTTATTTCTCTTTTTTCTACCTAAAAAAAATTATAAAAAAAAACAAAAAAAAAATATATATATTATTTATTTATTTATTCATGATATTTATCTTTTTATAAATATCCCGCATAGTATATTAAATATTAGTATTATTTAAGACAAACTATGTATTTTAAAAACGTAACAAATATTATTATCTTTTTTTTTTTTTACATGTTTTCTACTTAATGATCCTATAATAAAAAAAAATTTTGAAAACTGCTTATACATATATTTTTTTAAGAATAAGGATAGTAAAATAACAAAAAACTTCAAATATTTTTTTTTTCTTCTTTGATCATTTAAATCTACATCGTTAAAACTATCAATTAATGTATTATTTAAAACCTTATTTTTATATAAATTTTTGATATAATTGATATTTTTATGTATCATTCTTTTATCTTTCGTTTGTTCTTCTTTGTGAACAACATTTGCATCTAATGTTTTTGCTTCATTTTTCTTTTTATTCAAAATATTCTTGTAAGGTTCTTCTCTTTTTGTTTTTATTTTTTCTCTGTCTATATTGCTAAATATAACATCTTCTTCTTTTTTATGATTCTTATTGTTTATTAAAGTTTCTTGAGTATATAATTTTGTTGCTTCATTAAAATCCGACTTATAATTTTTCTCTATATTTTTCTTAACTAACAAATTATTTTCTTCATTTTTAAAAATTGGTATAACTTGATCCCATATCTTGTTATATTTCTTAAATATTGGTCTATTACTTTTTAAAAAAAAGTCTTTAAATAAAAAAAAGTAAATATTAAATTTATATAAAAAAAATTTATTTAATAAATTAGTTGATAGAATAATTCTGTCTATTTTTTCATAAGTTGTTAAATATCTATTAGAATATTTTAAATTGTATAAATTTTTATCCTCATTAGAAATTTTTATGTAATTTTTTTTTTTTATGTAATCAGAAGAATTATGAGAAAATTCAACAAAATTCTTTTTTAGTTTATTTTCAGTGTTTATATGACTTTTATCTTCTTTAGTAAAATTATATATTTTATTCATTTTGTATTTATGAGAAAAATTTTCTAAATCTTTGTGGTTATAAACTTTTTTTTGTTCATAATTACTAAATTTTTTTCTTGCATCCTTCTTATAAATTTCTTTTCCTTTTTCTATATTATAATACTTTTTATTTTCTTCATTATAATATTTTTCTTCTTCTCTATGAATATTTTCATATTTATTCTCTTTGTTTATACAAGTATTATAATATTTATCCTCACTATTATGATTATAATAATATTTTTTTTCTTCATCTTTATAATTATTTATTTTTTCTATATCATAATTATAATATTTATTTTCATTATAATACCTTTTTTTTTCTTCATCATAAATATCATATTCTCTTTTTTCGTTGTAATGTTTTAATTTTTCTTCATTAGGATGATTAAATTTTTCTTCTTCATCATAATAATTATATTTTTTTTCTTTATCACTATGATAATAATCATTTTCTTCATTATAATGAACGTATTGTCTTTCTTCATCATAATATTTATATTTTGTTTTATCATAATGTTTTAACTTTTTTTCATTGTAATGATTACATTTTTCTTCATAACAATTGTATCTTTCTTCATCAAAGTGGTAATATCTCTCTTCTTTGTTATTATAATAACAATATTTTGTTTCTTTTTCATTATAATTATGTTTCAACTTATTTTTATCAAAATATATTTTTTTATTTTCTCCGTTATCCAAGTGAAATTCTTTTTGAATCTTTTCTTCCTCTTTTCTATTGTATCTATTTTTTTCATCTCGCTGAATGAAGGAATCACTTAAATATGAAGCATTACTAGGATACCGTTTTCCACATAAATTAGAATATTTATTTTTCATTTTATCTTCTAAATATTTCATATTAATATTATTTTTCAAAAAGTCTTTATTGTTATCACTTTTATTCTTTTCATAGGAATTATTCTTGTCCCACTGAATGTTAATATCTAGGTTGATATTCACATTTTCTTTTTGTTTCTCTTCATTTTGATCATTAAAATTGATATAATTATTTATATTGTTTTCTTCATTATCTTCCTTTACAAATTTTCTGTATACTTCTGAACTACATTTTCTTCTGTTTTCTTTTCCATCTTTTTCATTAATTTTTTTTTTATTTATATATATATTTAAATTTTTTCTTATACCTTCATTTTTTAAAATTTCTTCTGGTCTTACTTCTGTGCTAAAAAATTTACCAAAATTTTTTTTTTTGTTATCTTTTTCCTTAATTGATTTATTTCTCTCATATACCTTTTTGTCATAAGAACTTTTAGAATTTTTTATATTTCTTTCTTTTACATTATCTGAAGAATATTTTTCTTTTATTTCATTTAAAGAAATTATTCTCTTTTCACAATTTTTGTTTCTCCTATGAATCCACCTAATAGTAGACATTTTATAAAAAGGAGAAAAAAAATTTTTTTTTTGATAGTATTAAAAAATATAAATATTATAACTTTGTTCATTAATTTACAAAAAAAAAAAAAAAAAAAAGAAAAAAATAAAATTTCTATTATACAGATTTTTTTTTTTCCTTTTTTTTTGAGTTGATGTTAAAAAAAAAATACGTCTTTCTATTTCTAATATTATTATTTTTATAGGCATATATTCATATAAAACATTTAATGTTTTTTTTTTTTTTTTTTTTTTTAAATTTTTTTTTTGTAAATATTTTAATATTTCACAAAAAAACTTGTCTTTTTATAAAAAAAAATAAAATAAAATATGATATTAATTTTTTTTTGCAACAAATATATTTATTAAAAATAATTTTCTTTAATATATATATTTTCATTAAAAAATACGTAATAGTAATGCATTTAAAAATAAGAAAAATTTTATAGATAATGTCTTTATTAATATATATTTTTTTTTTATTCTCATTGTAATTCAAAGTACTATATTCCATAAATTTTAAGAAATTTTAATAATGAAATTAAAAACATAAAATAGATATTATCTATAATTAAAAAAAAAAAAAGAAAATATAAATGTTGTTTAAAAGATAAATGCATTTTATAATTTTAATACCATGAAAAAAGAAAAAAAAAAAAAAAGCAAAATATATGATATATATTTATATATAATTTTTTTATCTTTTTTTTTCTAAGAATAAAACACTTTTTGTCTTGATATTTATTATTTCTTTTTATTACATAATTCCAAATCTAATTGCTCTAGCTTTTAACTTTTCACTCTATAGATAAAGAATAATAATTTTTACGATATAAAATATTAATATAAAAGGTATAAATAATGGTATTCATAATTATATATATCATTATAAAAAAATAAAAATATATAAATAAAAAACTCAATTATATATTTAAAAGATAATATTTAATTATTACTTCTTTCATTAAGCCAAATCTTTCTGCTCTTTTCTTTTTTGTTTCTACATCATTCAGTTTATTCTAATAAAAAAAAAAAATAAAATAATAAAAAGTAAAGAAACAGTAAAACAAATTAATATAAATAAAATTAATTATATATGTTTTATAAAAAAAAAGAAAAAAAACTGAAATAATTATATAACCATATTCAATCCAAATCGTTCTGCTCTTTTTCTTTTATTTTCTTCTTCCATTTTATGAGTAATAATACTAAATCTATAAAAAAAAAAAAAAAAAAAGAATATTAAAAAATTGAAAAAAACTTTGAAGTCTTTATGAAAACAAAAAACTTTAAATAATAATGAAAACTTGATATAATATTTAAAATTTTTATTTATTTTTCTTTTGTTTTTATTAATAACCTTTTAGCTCTAGACTCAAGAACTTCATCTGTAGAAACAAAACCTATTAAAAATAAAAAAAAATAAAAAAAAAAATTTAAGTAAAAAATACTAAATATTCTAATTAATTATATGTTTTACCAAATCTTTTTTTTCTTAATTCTCTTTTTTTTTCTTCTGATATGTAAGTATCTTTATCATCTTTATACAAAAAAAAAAAAAAAAAAAAAAAAAAAAAATAACATAATGTTATTAAGGCATTAATATATAATATAATATTTAACATATTTTAAAGTTGTAGAATTTCCTTATTATTCAAACCTTTTGAAGTAATATTTTTTTCTAAAGTATTTTTATTGGATAAAGATGATTCAGAAAATGTTATTTGTGGAATAACAGTTTTACTTTTTTTATCATTATCATTTAAAAAATTATTCTTTTCTTTTTGAGTATCTTCTATATTTTTAGATACACAAGTTTTTTCATTATTTTTTATTTTATCATTTTCGTAATATTTGGAATTCTCTCCATTATTAGTAGTTAATATATTTTTTATATAATCATTCATTTTTTTTAAATTTCCTTTATTTAATTCTTCTTTATTATTTATTGATATATATTTTTTTTTATTTTCCTTATTTTCTTTTACTCCTATATTGGTTTCCATATTATTTTTATCTTCATCAAATTTTTCTTTTGTTGGAGATTTAACATTTATATCATTGTTATTTTTTATGCCTCCTTTTTCTTCTACAAATAATTCAACATTCTCTCTATTGATACTATTATCATTTTTATCTATTATATATGATGATGATTTTACATTATCTTTTTGTTCATATTTTAATAATCTTTCTAATAATTCATTCTATAAAATGTATATAAAAATGTATATAAAAATGTATATAAAAATATATATAAATATATATATATATATATATATAGTAATTTTAAAAAAAGTATACTCTAAATATATATTATATAAATTGTTTTTGTTACAAAATTATGTTCTTTATTTTTCTTTTTTCTTATTTTTGGTTTATTTTATCCTTTTTTTTTTTTTTTTTTTTTTTTTTTTTANAAAATTTTTTTTTTTTTTTTTTTTTTTTTTTTTTGGTTTTTTTTTTCCTTTTTTTTTTTTTTTTTTTTTTTTTGTTGAGTATTTTTATAAGTGTTAATCTAAAATATTTATGTTTTCGTTATATATAAATATATTTATTATAATAATTATTATATAAAATTACACATTAGTATATTAAAAGGTAAGTTTTTTTTTCATACTTTTTTTCCATGAGATGGCAATCCTCTTTTGGCTAATAAATCTTTTAATTCTGAGCACTTTAAATTTTGATAATTCATTTTTTTTTCTTTCTTTTAGTTTACAAAGTTAATAAAATTTTCTTTTAATTCCTTTTCAGTTTAATATTAGCTTCATTAAAGCATTTTATTTCCTTATTTTTTATATGCATATGAACACTTTTTTCTTAAAAATATTCAATTACAAAAAATAAAAAAAATATAGATTATACATATATAATATAAATGAAGCTGAAAAAAAAAAAAAAATAATACAATAAAAAAATTGCTTTAAAAAATAAATGAATTTTTTTTTTTTTTTTTTTCGATAGTAATGTGAATTAAATATTAGCATTAAGATAAGATGAACAATAATATTATGATTTCATTATCAAAAATATATTTTAAGAATGCACGTAAAAATAAACTTTATATTTAAAAGAGTTTTTTTTTTTAAAACCTGAACTTTTGATTAATTTTTGTATTTTCACTTAATGCATATAAGATTAATTTTCTTTTCAAATGTATTTTGTTAATTTTCAATTGTATTTTGTTAAAACTTAAAAAAATAAAACTTCATTTTCATTTAAATATTTTTTTTTTTTATCGTATTTTTCATAGATTGAAAATTTAAAAATTTATCATATATGTCCAATTATATATATATATATGATAAAAAATATTCAAATTTCATATTTACATAAAACAAAAATTATATATTTTAGTCTATATATAACAGAAAAAAAAAAAAAAAAAAAAAAATTATTTTTTTTAATAATGGAAGAAAAAAGTCTCTTACATAGAATATGCACATTATATAATTATAAAAGTAACTATGCGTATATTATGTTTTTATAAATGAGATATTTAATTACCTTTTATAGATTCCTTATAATAATAAAACATTTTTTTTATAAAAGAAAAAATAAAAATTGAATAAATATTTTTATATATTTTGTTCAAAAAGAAATTATGTAATTTGTTTCAATTTATATTTTCATACATATTTATTATTATTTTTTTTTTTTTTTTTTTTTTTTTGTTTTTCCAAAATAAAATATATAAATATTTGTTTTAATTAAAAAATAATTTTTTCTTTTTTTCTGTAGTATTTTTATACTTTATGATAATTACTTAATGATTTCAATGGTATTTTTTTAAAACATTAGATCTAGATACAACCATAAATAAAAGAATTTTTTTTGAGATAATTTACATATAGACATTCTTGCTCTTATACATTTTTGTTATATTATTTTTATATTTTTGCAAGTTTTTATTTTAACAATATATATATATTTTTTTTTAATTATTTGTAAATGTAATATTTTTAATTTTACACATATGACAATATATATGATATTATTATATACATATTTTATACATTTTTTGTGTGGAAAATATGACTATATGTGCATGATGCAGTATTATACCCATAGTCTTGTTTTATATTCTTAAATTGATATATATATATATATTATTCTATTATATTTTATATACAACATAATAAGTGTATCACAATTAATTTCATTAATTCTGTTATCCTATATTTTTATTAGTTTCTCTTTTTTTTTTTTTTTTTTTATTTTTTTATTTTACTATTTAACAATTTATGTAGTTAATTAAATATAACTCTTATATTTCTCAAATATATAAAGATTTTCTTTTTTCAAAAGTTTTACATTTTACTTTAAATATTTTAATTTCTACATTAACGAAATATATTTTATTTTTCTTTATATTTTTTTTTTTTTTTGATTTTTTTTAAAAGAATGAAAACGAGAATAAAAATATTTTTTATATTTTTTATCTTCATTAAATATGTTAGCAGTAAAGCAGACCATATAATTCATGAAAAACTAACAAAGTTTGTTTTTTTAAGTTGCAATTATCAGAAATCAAAGAAAAATGAAAAATTACTAGAATCAATTGAAAAAATTAAACCACAACTTATGCTATGGATAGGAGATTATTTTTATTCAGATTGTAGTGAATTAAGGTGTTTAGATGAAGCATATAATTACATAAAAAAAGATCCATTCTATATAAGTTTAAAAGAAAAATTTCTTATAGATGGTATATATGATGATCACGATTATAACAAAAACAATGGGGATAGGTTTTATAAGTATAAAGAAGAAAGTAAACAAAAATTTTTAGATTACTTAAATGTAGATAAAAATGATGTAAGATATAAAAGAAATGGGGCATATGTATCTAAGTTATATATTGACCCAGATAATGAAAAAAATCAAGCAAAAATAATTATATTAGATACAAGATATAATAAAGATCCATATCCTTTTTATGCTCCTGATTCATATAATGATTTTTTTATGTGTATATTAATTTCTTTTCTTGCTCGCTTTCATTCTTCAATATTTGGATTACATTGTAATAGTAAAAATGATATTTTAGGAAATGAACAGTGGAAATGGCTAGAAAATGAATTGACTAATTCAGATGCCCGAACTCATATTATTATTTCATCTACACAAGTAAGGCAAATTAAAATTTTATTTAGAATATTATAGGTACTAGCTATATTCTTTTATTTACTAATTTGTTTTTTTTTTTTTTTTTTTTTTTTTTTTTTTTTTTATATCAGATTTTTTCAAATCATGTAATAAATGAAAATTGGGGTTTAATGCCTTATTCTCTTAGACGATTAAAACAGTTAATCAAAAAAACTAAACCAAAAGGTTTAATTTTTTTAAGTGGAGACGTTCATTTTAGTAGTATTATTGGAAACGAAGATAATATAGTTGAAGTAACTAGCAGTAGTGTAAATCAAGAAAATGTTTTTAGTTATCTAAATAAATATTTTATTTATTTTTTTTCAAGTATTATAAATAAAAGAAGTGCTTTTGAACTAAAGAATATATATGCATTTAATAATTTTGGTACAGTTAATATCAACTATATAGATGATGATGAGATAAGAATTAAAACCTCTGTAAATGATTCTGATGGTAAAGAAGTTTTAGTAGCTAACCAAATTTTTAACAAAAAAAAAAATATATATGAAAAATCAGATAAACTTCATGTAATTAATGATGAATTTGGTACTTTTATGTGTAAAGGAAAAGTAAAAACATTTATGCATATTATTGTTTATATTTTATTTATATTGTGGTTCATTCAAATACTATTTATTTTATATAAATTATTTGGAATTGTTAAAGGTTCAAAAGTTCATAAAAAGAAAGAAGTTTAATAATTCTAATAAAAATAGTATATATTTAAATATACACTTTTATTAATTTTTTTTTTTTTTTTAATTTATTTCGGCGAAATTATAAAAGAACATCTTTAATATTTTATTTTATTTTATTTTTTTTTTTTTATTTTTTTTTTTTTTACTTTACTATTTAAAAGCATATTTTAAAAACATCCTTCTCATTTTTATACATTTATAATTATTAATAAATGTTATGTTAAAATATGACAATTATAGTATTTCATAGACAATTATAATTTTATTTTATTATATATATAGTAATATAGAAATTATAAAAACTATATATATTCACATTAGCTTGTTGTTTTCTCCATTTCTTCATTCCTATACTTAAATGTGCTATATACATATAAGTAAAATATAATGTAGTTATTAAAAATATTATAATAAATATAAGAAAAGAAATTATATATATATATATATATATATATATATATTTACTGTAGTTGAAGAAAAATATTGTGTACACAAATGTATTAAAATATAACAGTAATGATCAATCATAAATAGCATATACAAATTATAGAATTTATAATAATTAATGATGTGAATATAATAATAATAATTATGCCATATAATATATAAATATATAGAATTTTATTTATTCTTTTTTTTAATATAAATATAAAAAATAATTTCTTGTACTTAATTATATTTTGAACATTTTCAAAAAGGATCTTTTATATATTTACTTGACATCATTTTATTAATTCAATAAAGACAAAAAAAAAAAAAAAAAAAAAAAAAAAAAAAAAAAAATTTCAATATTTTTGATAGATTAAAAATATATAAAGCAATTTCTTGTTTTTCTATAATTTTAAAGAACTTATAATTTCATTGTATCTTTTATATTTTCCTTAAAAAAATTAAGTTCTGTAACTAATAATTTTTTTTATTCTTTTATTAAATTTTTCATTTTTCAAAAGTTATTTTGTTGTAATATTAATATCTATAACAACAATTTTATTATTTTTTTGTCTATTATTAACTAAAAAAAAATTATTTTTTATTTTATTTTATTTTATTTTATTATTTTTTTTTTTTGTTTAACCTAAAAGATAAGAGATGACTAGAAAATATTTTAAAAAAATTATTATAATTTCTAGTTTTATGATTTTATTGGTTAATTTAAGAATTGTGTACAATTTTGAGGAATCTTTTTTTAATAACAATTTTAATCTTTTTAAATATTTTAATAGTTATCACATCAAAATAGATGATTTAAAAATAAATGAGAATTATTTATTTAAGAAACCTGATAATATAAATATAGAACTGGCTTTATCAGCATTAAAAGGAATAAAATATGATAATGATAATAAAAATATAATAGAAGGTAAAAAAAATATAGAAATTAGTAAATGGAATAAATTAACTAAAAAAGACTTTTTTAATGAAAACAAGGAAGAAGAAAATTTAATTAAAGGAATGCCTGAACCATATTATATATATAACATTACAGATAATATAAAAAATACAAAGTTTTATTTTAACAATAATAATATAGAAAATATGGAAATTATTTATAAGGGAAAATATATACCCAAAATATATAATAATATTTTTCTAATATTTGCAATTTCATTTATGTATTTATTTTGTATAAAAATATTATTACAAGGGTATATTAATGGGAAAAATACTGCTAAAAAATTTATATCAAAAATATCTACTTTGTTTACTTTTTTTATAATACTAAAAATTATGTTGTCACTTATTCCTCCTTTCTTATGTGCTTCCCTTTGCATAATTGTAACTTTCTATTTTTTTTCCATATCAATGAATCCTTGTGAAAATTTTTTTTTTCTTAAAAACTCAAAAATAAAAAAAGAACCAATAGGATGGATTCTTATTGTTTTTTCACAATCTATATTAATTGGGAATTTTATATATCATTTATTATTTAATGTAAAGGTATTAAATATGTTAATAAGTCACGTACATTATTATTTTTTATTACATTTTATTTGTTTTGTTGTTTTATTACTTATAGCTTCCCTCATATTTTTTTTTATGATAAGTAATATATTTTCAGCAAAAAAAGCTCAAAATTTTGTTTTTTCTTTTACATCCTCTTATTTAATTGTATCTTGTTATACTTATTTTTACAATCTTTTTATTTTGAGATTTTTAAATAATACTAATATTGTTCAAATTGAACCAATTATGTTTTTTTCTTATACACCTAAATTTGTATTTAATAAACAAAATATGGTTGCTTTGCTTATCCTTTTTATGATGACTATTATGTCATTAGTGTTACCGAAATGGTTAAAACAAAGTAATCCTTTAAGTAAAAAAATAAAACAGACAGACAAGAAAATAACAAATAAATATGATGTTTTTTTAAATTATTTTTCTTAATTTTTTTTTATTTTTCAACATTTATCATATTAAACATATGATAGTGATTACATATTTAAAAAATGAAAAACAGCAAAAAAAAATTTAAAAATAAATGAACTTATTTTTTTTTATTAATTTTTTTTTTTTTTTTTTTTTTTTTTTTATAGTAATATTAAATTTTATTTTTAATTATATCCATGTTTTAAAATAAATTAGAAAAATTTTAATAAATCTCCAAAAAGATAAATTAAATAAAACTAACAGATATATATATATTAGAAAAAAAATAAAATTAATATAAAATGAAATAAAATAAAATAAAATAAAATAATATGGCATAAAAACAAAAGGGAATGAATGAGAAAAAGTTAATGGATTTATAAAAAATTAAATTATACATTCAAATAAATTATAGAAATTTTTTTATTTTTACTTAAAAAATGCAACTTTAAGTTTTTTAAATTCTAAATTTAAATTCTTTATAATTCTGTTCGTTATCAAGAATCTATAATTAAAAAAAAAAATTTTTCTTGACTTTAAATTCCTTATAAATATATATATTTATCATTAATATTTAAAATTAATAAATGAACAGAGAAAATGTATTTTTATATTTAATTAGTCTATATATTTTGGGGGGAATAAAAGAAAAACAAAATATAACAAAAATATACATATATATATATATATAATAAAATTTCATAATATTTTTTGAAACTAGATTAATTTACAAATATTTTATACATAAATTTAAGTATAGTATATTATACGCATCATAGTATACTAAAAAAAAAACAACATAAAAAAAATTAGAGTTTAATTTTAAATATTAAATTATTACAAATATACTCATGAAACATAAAAATATGTTATCTAATGTTTATAGAACTAAAAAAGTTTTATCTTTTAGGTCATTATAAAAGATAAAAAAACTATTTATATTTTATTACCATGTTGTTATTATTTTATACTTAATGATATATTAAATTATTTTTTATAAATTAACATTTAGACTAATTCTTTTGATTTTTATTTTATAAATATTTTTTTCTAACCACTTAATATAATTTATTTTTTTTATCAACAAAAGCTTTAAGTTTTTTTTTTTTTTTTTTTTTTTATATATCCATATAAAATACATGAAATAAGAAAAACAGAAATTAAATTATTTTATCTTATATGATAATATAATGTATAAAATATACTTTTAAAAATAATAGTTATATGAAGATTTTATGAATATTTCAAAAGAGAAATATGTATAAAATGCTTTATTGACATTTAATAAAATGAAGAAAACTTGTGAAGTGTGTAAAAATAAAATATTCAATTATGTTTGCCCATCTTGTGATATAGTTTACTGTAGTCTTGAATGTTATAAAAAACACAATGATAAGTGTGTAAGTAATTTTTTAGAAAATCAAGTAAATGAAAATATAAAAAGCAATAAAATAACTGAATTTGATAAAAAAGAGTTTAAATTTAAGCTAAAAAAGTTTTATGAAGAGAATTCTCAAAATGATTTTTTAGGAGAATACAAAAACATAAATAAATGCAAAGAAAATAAAGAAAAAAAAAAAAAAAAAAAAGATTATTACTGTGAGAATAATTATAAAGAAAATAATGATGATGACAATGAAGAGGAAGAGGATGAAGAAGAAGAAGAGGAAGAAGAAGAAGAAGAGGAAGAAGAAGAGGAAGATGAAGAGGAAGAAGAAGAAGATGTAGAAGAAGAGGAAGAGGAAGAGGAAGAAGATGTAGAAGAAGAGGAAGAGGAAGAGGAAGAAGAAGAAGGAGAAGAAGAAAAAAAAAATAATGATGATAATTGTAATAAAGGAGAAAAATATAAAGAAGATAAAAATATAAATAGTAAAAATAATAATGTAGAACAAACTTCAAATTATTCACAAAAGTGGTTCATAAGTAAAAAAAGATATAAAGTATTAACTGAATTAGCACTAAAAGACGAATTAAAGTTAGAGAATTTAAATAAAACAGAAAAAAAACAATTCTTTTCTTTTTTAAAAAATAATGATATGAACCAATATTTAGATAAATATGAACCATGGTGGCTTAATTGTGTAATAAAAAAAATGAATATTCCTAATCATATATGTTGTAATAAAAATGTAAATGAAAATGTCATTTTTATAATTATTGAGATATTGTATTCTTATTGTTATCTACTACGTATATATAATAAGTATATTACTAATAAAGAATTTTGCTATTCATTACTTTATTTAGCAAATTCATTAAACAGATTTAATTTGCCAGAATCAAATATTTTAAATACAATCAATAATTTATTTCAAAGAATACTTGAAAATGATGATTTAGCAAGGGAGAAAAATGTATTATATAATGTTATAACTGATGTAACGAAAATATTAGATTTAAAGGAATTAATTCTTAGATGCTTATATGAAACTAAAAAAATTTTTAAAAAAGAGATTGAAAAAATCAATACAAAGAAAAATCAGTGTAGTAATAATTTAAATAATATAAAAAAGCTTACTGAAATTTTACAAGAACAAAAACTCTTCGGATACGTTAATAAAAAAATAAAATTTTTATATAGTTATTCAAATTATCATTATGAAAAATTTTCTGACATAAAAAACCAGTTATCTAAATTTTATAATGAACAAAAAAATTTTCTTAAATCGAATGATAAAAGAGAAATTATTTTAAACAAAGAAATTATGTAGTAAAGAATAATAAAAAATATATTAATAAAAAAAGTAAAAGGATATATAAGAAAAGATAAAAAAAAAAAAAAAAAAAAAAAAAAAAAATAATAAATAATATTTGTTAGGGTAATGGTTATAGATTATTATTTGTGGTTATAGTTTAAATAGATAGTCTTACTACTTTTATCAATTATACTTTTTTATTTTAATTTTTATTTAAATTTTATGTATTTATTTATACGTTTAAGTAATTATTATATATTCTCATATATATATATATATATTTGTTTTATCTTATATTTAATACAACTATAATTTACCTTAAAAATAATAGCTTTTATTTTGATACTCTAATTTTACATATTCTACTTAATTTAAAACAATAATATTTTTATAACTTTTCAAAGCTCTTAATTATAATAAAAAAATTAAAAAAATTAAAAAAAAAAAAAAAAAAAAAAAGTAATTTAGAATAATAAAAACATGATAAAAAAAAAAAAAAAAAAAAGAAAAAAAGAAAAATTTCTTTATTCATATTATCTGTTATTATCTTAAATTTTATAAAAAAAGTGTATAATAATGTGAGTACTAAAAATATTAATTACATTAGACTGTTGTACTTGTATAATATTTTACATAAAAAGAATTTTCTTATATTTCTATATTGAAACATGTAAATTTAATCAATGAAGAATTAAAGTATACATATGTGCATAAATTATTACATCTAATTTAAAATATGATATTTTGAATAAAATTTTTACAATATAAATTACATAGTTGAAATTTAATAAAGTCGCTTTTTTTTTATATTTATTTATTTATTTATTTTTTTTTGAGTTATATTTTTATACTTAATTTCTTTCTTTTTTCAATTTGTTTTGTTTATTTTTTTATCCTTATTCATATAATTTTTTTTTTTTTTTTCTTTTACTTTTTCTTCCACATGTGTTTTTTTTTTTAATATTACTGTTTAATTTTTTTATTTTAATAATAATTCACTTTTCTTTTTTCTCTTACTTTTTATATCTTTTTTGTAAACAAAAAAATGATAATAAATGAAAATGAATATAACGAACATTTAAGAGTAACTTCAAGTTGTTGGTTAAGTAAAAATAAAATAAATAGTTTTGAAAATAAAAAAAAAAATTCAAGTAAAAAGAATACTGGAATTTGTCCTAACTTTAATATATGTCCTATATCTGTTACTTTGCCAATTATAAAATTAAAAAATGATTTAGATTGTATAAGTGAAAATAAGCAAATAAATAGATTAAGAGAGAAAAAGAATAAAGGAAAGATACAAGAAATAAATTTCAGAAATGAAGATGAAATTTCTTCTATTCTATTAAGAAGTAAAGCGTTTAATGAAACATGGAATTTATTAAATAATTTTATGAATTGTTTTATTTATAATTATTTAAATGAAATGATAGAAAAAGAAATAAATTTTTTAAACAACAATTTGTGTCTTAAAGATGACAAATTGTCGTTATTAATTATAAAAACCCAAAGTTGTTCTTTTGTAAATCTATTACAATATAGAATTATATCTCAAAAATTAAAAAAATTAAATAATTGCGATCAAAAAGAAAAAAAAGAAAAAAATGTTTTAGAAGATGATATATTAAATTATAAGAGCTTGAATAATCAGTCAAAATCATTTGTATTACTAAAAAAAGAAAAATATATAATATCTTGCATAATTAATGCTTATTCAAATGATACAGTAGAAAGTATAATTAGTAGAATTATTAAAAAAATTAATTCTAATGTTTTTATAAAAATAGATAAAAACAATTTAAATGACTTATTTAATAAAATATTAAAAAAAAAAAATAGTGTTTTAATTATTTTTATGAATAATTATTTGAAATTAAAAGCATCTACATTTAATGGAATTTTGTTATATTTAACACATTTAAAAGAACTACATTCTGTAAATATTAGTGTTATTATAACCAATAATTGCGTCTTATCTGCTCTGAGTAATTTAGATCATTTTATAAAAAAAAATTTTCATGTTAATATTTGTAATTTATATTTAAATTATTATAATTTAATCGAAAATATTATATTTTCTCCTATCTTTAATAATATTATATTTAAGATAAAAGAATATAACTCTTTAATAGATCATATATTTTTTTGCAATCATAACTTTAGCTTTTTAAAACTAAAATATTTTTTTTATTTGTTTATACGAGATTTTTATGATAAAAAAATACTATCTTTTTTAAATATTCCTCTAATATACTTTAATAATAAGAATGAAACAAATGAAAAATCAAATAATAAAGACGATTATACTAATAATTTCAATGAATTCAAATTTAACCTAATTGAGTCTTTTGATTTGATTAACGTAGAAAATATTCATGAAAAATTTATTCTTTTGCTGTTTGCAAGTAATTTTTATGAGAAACATATTAATTATTTAAAATATAAAAGTAACTATCACTTTTTATATATTGAAAATCAGTTAAATAAGAAAAGTGAGAAAAACATAAAAAATAATAATAAAAATGGTAACAAATGTAATTCATTACTGTTATCAAAAAGAAAAAGAGAAAATATTAAAGTTGCAAATACTAGTATATTAGATGATCATAAATCAAATTTTGAAAAAGAAAATATAATAAAAAAGAAAAATAATAAAATAAAAAATTCTATTATGGAAAAATTAGAAGAAAAAGAAGAAAAATATAATGGAAACATATGTAAAAAAAAAAGAAAAATAAATCTCAAGTATTCAGATAAAATTTTTGAAGAAAATGTTGATGTGGTAAACAAAAGAATTATGAATAAAGAAAAAAAAGAAAATGAATCTCTTTTTAATTGTATTATGAATTTTAACTTTATGAAGTGTGAGTATGAATATGATAGTTCTAATAACAATAGTTCAAATAAAAAAATTATAAATAGAAAGAAAGAAAATAATAATAATAATAATAATAATAATAATGATGGTGATGGTAATGAAAGAAGTGAATTAAGTAAAAAGATGAATAATAATAATGAAAAAGAATATTTAATAAATGAAGCTAATATGAGTGAAATAAATTTTTATTCAAAAAATGATTCTATCAAAAAAAAATTAAAAATTAATGAAAAATTCAAGAATTTTTATTTTCAAAATTACTCCACACATTATTTATCTGAAGGTTTATCACCGATTAACAGACTAATTGATGGAGACTTTATAAATAATTGTAATGTATTAAAGCAATATGTAATAAATAATATATCTATTCATATGAAAAGTGAACATAATTTTGATTCTTTTAAAATGCTTAAGAAAGAATGGAGTAATAATGAATATAAAAAAATATACAAATATGAACAAATAGCTTCAAACATGGAAAGACATCTTAATAAAGAAAAAAAAAAAAAAAAAAGAAACAAAAAATTTATAAGCATGGAAGAAAATATAATAAAACAAAAAAAGATTGAAGAAGAAAACACAAAAAAAATGTTATTACTGTATTTACATAAAAGTTTAACTATATCTATTAGTAAAAAAATGATTAATTTTTTATATAAAAAGAAAAAATATAACATGTCTCTCGTAATTATTAATACAATCTTAAAAAATATACCAACATATTCTTCATTAAGAAGAAGAATAAAATTTTTAAAAGAGCTGTATAAAAAATATGAACAAAAATTTTATGTAAAAACAGAAGAAGACCTCAAAAAAGCAAATGACGAAATTGAAAAAGAATTAAAACAAACTTTAAATACAATTTGTGATATTCTTATAAATCTTTATATTAACAAAATTCATTTATTAAAAAAAATAATGTACGACATTTATGAATTTTTAAAAAATGTTTCATATGTTAATAAATTAGAAAGTTATGTTAACAAAAATAATTCATTAAATCTGTCTATTTTTTTTGTAAAATTAAATCACTTAATTGCTTTTATTAATTTTTGCATTGATTTAAGAAAAAAAAAAGGAAATTATTTTGATGAAGTAAATAAAAATAATGTAAATTATTTAAATCAAGAAAATTATATTTTAAATAGTGAATCAAAAAAAGTAACTTCCTATAGTTACAATAATTATATTTATGAAACTCCAAAAAAAATACATTCCATGGATAACTTTAACATCAATAACGAGCAAATAAAATTGAAAAATTATGGAATATGTGAAAATATATGTAATGATGAAATAAAAGAAAAAATTTCCATTAACAAAAACGAAGAATGTAATTCAAAACACCTGGTAAATGGCTTTATTAGTCCTGATATATATAATCAAACATATAGCACAAATCAAATTAACTTAAATTCTCAAAAAAACAAACAAAAGAAAAGTAGCACAGAAATGTATTTGAAGAAATTCAATGATTCTAATATAGACCTAAATTTTCTTGAATTCCTTTTGGTTTTCTTTTGCGAATATTTTTATTTCCTTTTACTTCCATGCATATTTTTATTACCATTATCAAATGAATGCATAATACATGATCATGGATCGGAATTTTTTAATATCTTTAATATTAACTTACAAATGAAACTGTTACATATTCTTTATTACAATAAGTTGGATGTTAAATATTTAAATAATTCTAATGTACTTTTAAATCACAATTTTTATCAAATTAAAAATAATTTAAAAAATTCTGACATTAAAATGGAAGGTTGCCAAAATAATACAGATATTAAAGGAAATAAAATAATTCCTTTGAATAACATAGAAGGTAAATCTAAAATTGAAGATGTTGTAATTTTATTTAAAATAATGGAGAATATGAAAGCAAAATATATAAATGGATGCAATATGTTTTTTGAATACATTAACATGAAATTAAATTCAAATTATGAGAACAACATAAAAGAACCCCTATATGGCGAGACTTTTCAAGAATTATTTTATCAATTCATTATAGCTGTTATGTCTCTTTTTTATTTTATGAAAATAATTTATATTCCATCGTCTTTTGTAAAAAGTAAAAATGAATTAGAAATGTCAATAAATTACGATGAGCATAATTCAAATACTTATGATAAAAATAGTATTCATGAAAAGCTCGATAAAGAAAAAATAAAAGAAGGTGTAGATGTTGATTTAGCAGAAATATCTGATGAAAAAAAGTTAACTAAGGATAGCTTTTCAACAAATGAAGACACAATATCATCCTTTGATAATGAAAAATATATAGAAGATTTCAAATATAAAAATTACATTTTAGATAAGTTATACCATATAAATATAAAAAAATTGATATTTGGAAAAAATTATATTGTTTGATACCTTCATTAATCTCACTTTTTTTTTTTTTTTTTTTTTAATATGTAAATTAAGCACATGCACACAATATATATACTTATATGAAGTGATTATGTATATGTATATATTACGAAAAGTTAAAGACAAAAAATTATTACTAACTATAATATATATAAAAGTTTTAGTTGCAAGATAAATGAATTTTAAAAATTAAAGGACATATAACCCCAAAAGTATAACATAATAAGAAAAAAAAAAAAAAAATGACGTGAAAATATATAGAATGCATTTGAAGGAGGTAGTTGTATAAATTTTTTTGAATCATGGGTTTTTATTTTTTCTTCCTTTGCTGTTGTTCACATTAAGAAGAAAAAAAAAAAATAATGAAATTTAATGAATATGCCAAACGCTTTTTTTTTTTTTTTTTACACAACACATAATGAATTGTAAAAAAAAAAAAAAAAAAAAAAAGAAAGAAAGAAAGATTCATACACATGCATATTTATTTATTTTTTCTTCTTTAATTTTATATTTTATGAAAAAAAAATTTTTTTTAACATAATTTATGCTACTTTAAAAATAATTTAAAAAACTATGTACATATAACAGGTTATATTGAAACCTTTGATGCATGTGAATCCCTTAATTTTTTTATTGAAATATGAAAAAAAATTAAAATAAATAGTTTAAGTATTTTAAATAATAATTTTTTTTTTTTTTTTTTTTTTTTTTTTTATGTGAAAACTTATGATTTTTTTTCATTTTTTATATAAACAATTTCTCTTTTTTTAAATAATATATCATTTTCAATATGAAGATTTTAAGTTTTATTTATCTTTTCATTTTTTCGTCCATTTGCTATTTATCGGAAAGTTCAGGTGAAAACATATAAAAAATTTTAAAAAGGAAAAAAAGAGATATGTATATATAGAATATTTAGCATTTAAATGTTATTATAAATAAGTTTATAAAAAAAAAATTATAAAAATCATTTGAAAATTATTATCTTACACATTTTAATTTTATACTAAAATTTTATATGTATATGTACACATTTATCTACACAATGTTTTCTTTTAATTAATATGTTTTATTGCATATACTTATATTAAAACATAATATTTTATGTGTAAAGAGAATAAATAAAATATTATGAGAATCTTTTTTTTTTTTTTTTTTTTGAAAAGTATCTTAGAGATAAAATGAATTTTTATTATATTAATGCCAAAACATTTACAAATATACTAGTATTTATTTTTTCTTTTTAATTTTTTTTTTTTTAATTTTTAATTTTATTTTTTTATTTATTTTTTATTTTATTTTATTTTTTTTTTTTTTTATTTATAATTTTGTTTTTATATTTTAATTTTTTTTTTTTTTTTTATGATTCACATTTTTATTTCATGTTATTTTTTTTCAAACATTCTTATCATTTTAATCTTATGTAATATAGTTTAATTTTTATTATTTTCATTTTAATTTTTTTTTTTTTTTTTTTCCATTTTTATATTCTATTTTTTTGCAATTTATTTTAAACAAATCTGACTACAATTCAAGCATACATATATAACACATAATATATATATATATATATAATTTTTTTTTATCTTAGAAAATAACGCATACTCTTTTGAGTTATTAAATCAGTCCAACTGGTTAACCATTGCACAAAGAATTTTTCAGGGTACAACTCCACAAAGCTTCACAGTAATACCTTATAATTTTATAAATGATCCAAATAGGAATTTCAGTAATAATAACGCTGTGTTATTAATTAGAAAAAGGTTAAAAATTTCTTCCAATATAAGCACAAATAAAGATAATAGTACACATTCAAAATTCAGTGTACCAACCGTAGTTAATAAGGCTGATAATAAATCCGCAACTCATTCACCAGATTGTTCTCCATTTTCTGGAAACGCCGCATGTTGTAATAAATACTCAAAACAAGAACCACGAATAAATCCTGTATTTCCTTTGGATGGTAATTATCCTAGATTTATGCGAGATTCATTACCTATCCCAATACCAAGTTTTCCTATGATCTCACGTATTAATAATCCATATCATAATTATTACAATCAACATAATATTTCTACATTAAGACAGACAGAAAAATCTAATTTAGATAATAATAAAAGTATGCATAATCCAAATAATAGAAGCAATAACCAAGGAGAAAGTAATAATTCAGGATGGAAAGGATATATCCCGAATGATTACCTTCCAGTTAACATTGCAAGTACCATAATGGATAATTCTCAAGAGGATGATTCTCATAATTTAAAAGAAGAAGAAGAACCATGCGATATTGCTCTCAAGTTAGGAAATATTATACACAAAGCGAATGAAGAAACACTAAAACTAGAAATAAATGTAGGTCAGTTATTATGTATAGATTTAGAATCTATTTCTGGTAATGGATTTGTATGGTCGTTGTTAGGTGTTTATAGAGAGAGACCTAAGATTGAACCTGAAAAATTTCCAACAAAAAGAGTTACAGAATCATACTTCTCCAACGACATTTCGGTAACTCATCCAATAGCAGAAATAGAAATGGTGGGTAATAATTATAAATCAAAACAAGGTGGATTATTAGTTGATTATGAAACCTTTAAAAAGAATATAAATAAAAAATTAAATGAAGAAAACGAAAAAAGCGAAGAAAAGGAAAAAAGTAAAGAAGAACTTGCAGAAGAAAATGCAGAGAAATATTTAGAAAGTAGTGTTGAAGGAAATAAAAATAATAATGAGAAAATAAATGAAGAAAACATACATACAAGATTTAGCAATGCTAGAGGAAACCTTAGAGTTAATGGAAAAGAAGACAATAAACCAGATGAGAGCAATAAGAATAAAGAAGATGATAAAAATAAAGAAGATGATAAGAATAAAGAAGATGATAAGAATAAAGAAGATGATAAAAATAAAGAAGATGATAAGAATAAAGAAGATAATAAAAATAAAGAGGATGATAAAAATAAAGAGGATGATAAAAATAAAAAGGATGATAAAAATAAAGAAAGTAAACTAAAGCCATATACTGGAGAAGGAGACTTGGTAGGACAGGCTACTATCTTAAAAAGTAAAATAAAACCTAACAAACCAGGGGAATATTTTATTGTTTATGCATATTATAGGCCATTTGAAACAACTTTAGAACCAAACGTAAGGATTGTTCATTTAATAGTATCTTAATATGCAAAAAAAAAAAAAAAAAAAAAAAAAAAAAAATCATATAAAAAAAATTTTTTTTTACGTATTTGATATACTTATATATCCGCATTTAAGTGTACATAAAAGCACAAACTTTTTAAGAAAATTACTAATCAAAAAGTATTATATCATAATTGTTTATATCAATATTGTTTTATAATTAAACCGTTAAATACATATTCTTAAGTAAAAATTAAATGTCTTTTCTAATATTAAAATTTTTTGTAATATCATTTTACTAATATCTTTTTTCTTTTTTTCTTTTTTCTGTCTTAAAAAGACATTTTTTATAATTATTACACTTTTTAATTATCATTGATTTTTCTTAATTATTTTTTTGTTAATTCTATTTTTATATAACAAAAATATGGACAATACTAAAGATAGCTTTTGCTACCTTATTTTTTTTTTCTTTTAATATGACATATTTTATATTCATTTTACAATTCTGAGAATTTTTTAACTATTCCAAAATGAGAACATAGATTTTTAAAAAAAAAAGTACAAAATAAAAAAAATAAACTAAACAAAAAATAAATTTAAATATGAAGAATGTTTAAAAAAAAAAATGATTCTAGAGGTAATCAAGTTGAAAACCTACTTTAAATGGTTTAAAAAAAATTACATTTTCTCGAATATATCCATTAAATAGTAATATCTTTATACTTTAATGCAAACATATAGAACTGTTAGGATTTAATGAAGAAAAATAAATTATTAAATAAATATCTAATTTTAATATGTATTATATTAAAACTTAAATTCTCATACATTAATCTTCTAAGTATTGTAATAAAAGATATATATGATATTTTAGAATAGAAAATTTTTCTTATAAAGAAAACAAATTTTAAGAAATCAAAATGATTAAACATAATTTGATTATATATATAATCGCATTACATTTTTATTCCATGAAAAAAAAAACCGAAAAAAATATAGAGAAAAATTAAAAAAAAAAAAAATGGAAGAATGAAAAAAAAAATAAAATAAAATAAAAATAAACATAATATATTTTATTTGTAGGCACTTAATTACATAAATTAAAAAAATGGAAGTAACAAAAACATTTGTACCTCTTATAATTGGTTCATATGGTTTATGTTTAAGTTCATATTTAATTTACAAAAAAAAAAAAAAAAATAACTGGCAAAAAATAAATGGCTATATTGATCATGTAGCATTAAAATATACAAAGAACTTTTTACAAGAAGCTTTTTACTTAAATGTCAAATATTACTTCCATATAAATAATGAGAAAATTGAAAATAGTAAAGAATATAAAATATGGGTTAATATTTTTAAAAATAAATCCACTCAAAATATAGTAACAAATGGTTATACCCAAAATATTTTTGATCAAATCAGCAAAGAAAAAAATATACATATTTCTTATAACCCAAACAATTTTAGAGAATCAGAACCATTGATATATATTTATGAAAATGACATTCTCTTAAAATATAAATTATTGTATAAAATTAAAAGTAAGTTAATTAATATAAAGATGTATTTTAGTAAAAACTCTGATACAAATAAAGCTAAAAATTTTTTAAACAAAGAAACTGAATATAAAAAGGAGTTGGAAGAAAAAAATAAAATAGAAAAAGCTAATACGGAAAATAATACATTAAATTTAGAGGATACAAATGAAAATTTTAAACTATCAGATTATAAAAAGAAATTAATTGATTCATATGATATAAATAATAAATTTCCCATTTATATGTTTTCTTGTAGCTTGTTTTTAATTTTATCCTTTTTTTTAAAAAAAAGGATTATTTTTGTAAGTAAAGAATTGTCACAAAAAAATATTAGTAAAAATGTAGATTAACATATTTTTCAAACATAAAATAGTCAAATAAAAAGACACTTTTATTTCTCTATTTTTTTATTTTGAAAAAGAAAAAACTAAATAAATACAAAAACTATTATTAAATAAAATGGATATAGATATATAATAGTTAAAAATAATTATTTAATAAAAATATATATATATATATATATATATTTTCATTAACCCTTTTAAGGTTAATATATATAAATAAAATTTATTAAACCTTTTTTTTTTTTTATAATTTGTTCAAGGATTCTTATCTTTTAAAAACTATGCTATAATTATTATATATATATATATATATATATATATATATATATATATATATATATATATATTTTAATATTTATCACATTTTATTTCTTATTAAATATTATTCTTTTTTTTTTTTATTCATCTTCCCTTTTTTCCTTTTTATTAATTTTATTATGAATTATACAAAACTTGTTTTATTTATTTTTTAAATCAAATAATTTAATAAAAATATTTGGAGGTAATTTCACCTTTCCTATATTAAACATTTTTTTCTTTCCTTCATTTTGTTTTTCAATTAATTTTCTTCTTCTTGTGATATCCCCACCGTAACATTTTTGAGTGACATTTTTTTTAAGAGGTTTTATTTTTTCAGAGACAAAAATTTTTGATTCTATTGCTGCTTGAATAACAATAAGAAATTGATGGGGATCAATTAAATTTTTTATTTTTAAAACAAGATTTTTTGATTTTTCATAATAATTAACCTTATGAGAAATGAAAGATAAAGATTCAATACATTTTTTATTTATATATATATTAATTTTATATAAATCGCTTTTTTTGTATACAACAAAATTTTCGTAGCTCATCGAACCATACCCTTTTGTGTAAGATTTTATTTCATCTAAAAAATTAATTAGTATTTCAGACAATGGCATTTCAAATAAAAAAATAATTTGATCGTTAATAATTTCTTTTTTAATAAAAATTCCTCTTCTTTTAAAACATTCATTTATTACATATTTCTGGTAAATATCCGGTGTAACAATATTTGTTTTCACATATGGTTCATAAATAGAATCAACATAATTTTTTTTTGGTATTTCATTTACATTGCTTGTCATGAAAAACATTCCATTAGAAATATCATCTTTTTCATCAATATTTATATTTTTTATATCAAAATTTTTATCTATTAATTTTTCTTTTAACTTTTTATCTATATATTTATCTTTTAACTTTATTAAATAATTTACAGATGGAGCTGTAATTATTGTTTCTACATCATATTCCCTTTTTACTCTTTCTTGAATAATATTCAGATGTAACAATCCATTGAACCCACATTTAAATCCTTTCCCTAATGTTTCACAAATATCTTTTTTAAAAGAAAATGATGCATCATTTAATTTTAATTTATTCAAAGACATCTCTAATTCAGTAGATTTTTTATCATTAACACTATATATATTACAATATACAGATGGATATGAAACATCTATTTTTGTTACTGCAATTTGTTTAACATTTATTTCATTTCCATGTTTAATTCCTTCATGTATTTCTTTATTTGATATGTTTTCCATTTTATTATTGGTTTCCTTGCATATTTTTGTTTCATAATTATTTTTTTCTTTTTCTTTGTTTTTAGTTTCACATTTACTTGTTTCATTAACATGATTTTTAGAGTATTCATGGTTTTCATTTTGTTTATTTTCTTCTTGGAGATAAGTATCAAATTGATATTTTTGTAAATCTAAAACGAACTCTTTTTGTGAATTAATTTTTATTAAATCCTTATTTACAATTGTTTCACTAATTTGAATATCATCACAATTTCTTATATTGGAACAAACATAAGCGATATCACCTTGTCTAATTATATCAGTTGATTTCATTTCCGGTATTAAATAACCAATATCTTGAATTACATATGATTTTTCACTATTTATAAAAAAAATTTCTGTTCTTTTTTTTAGAAATCCATTCAAAACCTTAATAATTAATACTACCCCTTTATACTGATGATAAAATGAATCAAATACAATGCCCCTAAAAAACATATTTGATTTAATTGTAGGATATGGAATATCACTAATTATTTTTTGAAATAAATTTTCTATCTCAAAACCATATTTAGCAGAAATTTTTAAAATCTCTTCACTTTTAAAATTAAACTTTTTTATTAAATCATCTTTTATTTTTTCATATAAGCATGTACTTAAATCAATTTTATTTATTACAGGTATTATTTTTACATTATGTTTTTTCAATTCAAAAAAAATATTAAGTGTCTGTGATTGAATCCCTTTACAACCATCAATTAATAAAATAGCGCCTTCACATACATTTAAGGATCTTTTAACTTCATGATAAAAATCAGAATGTCCCGGTGTATCTATTAAATTAAAAATATGATTTTTGTAATTCATCCTTACTGCCTTTAATTTAATAGTTATTCCTTTTTCTCGTTCTAATGACATCATATCTAAAAATTGATTTTTCATTCTTTTTTTTTTAATAGTATTTGTTAATTCTAAAAACCTATCAGCCAAAGTAGATTTTCCACTATCAATATGTGCTAAAATACAAAAATTCCGAATATATTTTTGATAAACGTTTTCTGGATTTACACTATCATTAAGATTTTTGTTATTTTTCTCTATTTCATTTTCTTCATTCATCTTATAATCATTTGAATAACTATTTAATTTTTCATTTTTCTCCTGTTGTTCTTCATTTATTTCTTTTTTACTATAGATTATTTTTTTATTATTCTTTAATCTTTTTTTTCCATCATTATATTTATATAGCCGAAATGTTTTAATATAATGTAAAATTATCTGATTTTTTAAATGACTATTTTTATCCTTTTTTTTTTTTACACATTTTTTATTTTCCCATATTTTAAAAAAAAATATTTTTTTTTCTTTTGAATTACTAAAGTTATAGTATACTTTTTTTATATTCCACTTATTTTTGCAAATACATTTAAAATTATATAGAAAAACAAGAAATATAAAAATATACAATTTTTTTTTATTAGCTGAAGTCAAAATCATTAAAACAGTTTGTACAATTTTTATTTTCTTCTTTTCAAAATAAACTTAAATAAACACATTCTCATATTTCAATTTATATTATGTTTATTTTATTTTATACAAACGCAATATCAATATTTATCTTTTTTCCTTCATATTTTTATTTTATTTTTTCTTTTTAATTTTGTTAATAATAACAAACATTATGAAAAACTAAATATATAAGTTATAAAAAATAATTCATAATTAATATTGAAAAAATACATAAAATTTTAAAAATATATTAGGTAAAATATTACAAAAAAAAAAAATTTTCATCTTTTAAAAATTCCTTCTTTAAAAATAAAAAAAAAAAAAAAGAAAGAAAGAAATAAAAATAAAAAAAAAAAAAAAAAAATTAAAAAATTGAATTTTTCTTTAAAAATATATAATAAAAAAAAAAAAGAAAAGTTGATTAAAATAAATATATTAAATTTTTCTTTAAAAAAGATTAAACGCATTAATCAAATTCAAAAATAACAATTTTATTTAAAAATAAAAAGAATTCAAATATCATTTAAGAGATTCTTGTAAGTTAATAGATAAATTATGAAAAGTATTATAGTTACTGAAATCATCTGATTTTTGATTTAATATAAGTGAATAAATATTTTCCCATACTTTTTTATGTTTTTTTTTTTTTTTTATCAAAGATTGTAAATTATTAAACTCACTTTTTTTGCATTTATTTCTATTTAACCAGTATTGTTTCATAGCTTTTGATATTTTAATTTTTGTTTCTTCTGATGTTGATTTTATACTAGTATTTTTTCTTCTTATAAAATATTTTCGTTGTCCTTCTAATGTTTTTAATTTATAATTTTCATCATATTTCCATTTATTTTTTACTGCTTCTGAAATTTTTTTATTATGTTCAATACCTCTTTTTCTAAAAGAACTTATCATTTTTTTTCTAAATTCTAAATTTTTCCATTTTTCTATCATAATTGATTTAAGTTTTTCTCTCATGCTTTTTTTAGATTCTTCCGATAATATTCTTTTTTTTCCTTTTTTTTCTTTTTTTTCTTTTAAAGAACATTCATTTATATCATTTTCTTGTATATGTGTATTATTTTCGATAAGAGGTATTCTATTCTCTTCTTTCATGCCAGATTTATCATAACATTTATAGTTATTTTCATTAATAATTGAATTATCACTAACAATACTATCAGACAATGCTGACAAATGACTAGTACTCCAATTATTTCCATTTTGATTAGTTTTTTTTAAAAATACATTCCTATTATTTATAACATTATCATCTGATATTTTGCCTACAACAAAATGATTAATTTTTGTTAAGAAGCATTTATGATTATTCTTATATTTCATATTTAAAGGAATCATAATTTTATTTAATAGATATATATTTCTGTTATATAAGTTATTTATAATTCTATATTCATTTACAATGGGTCTTAAAAAGTATTTGAACATTCTCTTCCTTTTATACTTTTCATGGTTGCTTGTTTTCGATAGATATATTTCATTTTTATTTGAATTTTTTTTTTTTATAATGTCTTCATTTGTATCCTTATATTTAAATCTATTAAAATTTTTTATTGATGTATTGCAACTAGTGTATTTTATTTTATTCATAAAATTGCAACTTAAATAATTGATGCACTTCGTTATATCATCAAATAACTTATTTTCACTGAAATTTATATTAAAAATTAAAATTAACAGAATATAAAAAAATAAAATTTTATTATTTTTAATATGCATGTGATGAAAGGTAAAGGAAACAAAAAAAAAAAAAAAAAAAAAGTTAAATTAACATATATAGAAAAAAAAAAGCCAAATAAAAGAATATAAAATTAGTGTATTATAGGTATTTGTTTGATAAAATTTAACAAAACCCTAAAATAGAAATCATAATTTTTTGTTGTTTTTTTTCAGAATTTAAAATAAATAACAAATTTACATTAATTATTTTTCTCATATCTTTGTATATTCCTTTATTCTAAAAATGTCTCAATATAATTTTTTACTATGGTAAAACTAAGAATATTTCATTTTAATATAATGCAATAAAACTCATAATTAACTTCTCCTTTGTTTTATTATTATTAATCCTTTTATATATATATATATATATTTTTTTTCAATATTATTATAATAATGCATTGTTTTCATATATATTTTACAAATTAAATTTTTACATTTTTAAAGATATATTTAACGATAAATCTACTATAAAATGAATATAAGATAATAAATAATATTTTATTTAAGTATTCTATTTATTTTTAAATTTTTCTATATATATATTTTTACCTCTTTTATTTTTGCTTTTATTACTCGTTTGTTTAGTAAGAATATAAAACAAAAGAAAATCACAGCATTATCATTTTATTATCAGTTGATCAATTATATATATTTATAAACATAAGTATTTCCATTAATTTTTTTTTTTTTCTTCTAAAAAAATTAAAATAAATTATTCTTAATAAAAAGAATTGTAAATATAATTTTTAAATACAATATTTTTTTTTATTAAATTTATAAAATTTCAAAACTTATATAACATTTAAAAATATTTTTTTTATTTTTTGAGTTTTTTTTTCTACCATATTGTATTTTTTTTTTTTTTTTTTTTTTATAATAGCATATAATGATTCAAATGTATATATATAAACATAAAAGAAATATTTCTAAAATTAAGTATATTTAAAAATAAAAAAAAAGAATATATGAAAATTTTTAATTAAGACTTAATAACAAAACAAATATATTAATTTTATTATAAAAATAAGAAAGCATATACCCCTATATATATATATATACATGTTACATTATATTTAATTTTTTATATTTATTATTTGTGTTTCTATGAAGTTCTGATTTTAAAAAAAGTTCATTATTTATTGTTAAAAAAAACATTTCAAAGTGATATTTAAACAAAAAAAATAAATGAAAAACTGTCTTTTATTTAAATTAATAATTTTTTGTTATTTTCAGAAATTATACTATCTTCAAAATATAACTTTCTTTTTTATTCACTATTCGTTTTATGTTATTTTAACCTTTACTATTACACACATATTTCTTATTATAAGCTCAAAAAAAAAAAAAAAAAAATAAAATAAAAAAAATTAAAAAATGATAAAATATAAAATTATTTATTTATATATATATATATAAAAAAAATTAATGATTTAAACATCTTTTCCATTGATATACATGTGGATAATTAAACTAATAAGACATAAATTTTTATAAAAAAACAAACACAGAAAAAAATAATATATATATATATATATTTCTTATATTGGTTATAAAGCAAAATAAGCTTATATCAAAATTTTTGTTTTTTTATTTATATTTTTTACCATTTATGTGATATTTTTATTTCTATTTTAAACTATATATATATTGTTTTAGTATTAAAAAAAAAAATATATTTAATTTAAATTTTTCACTTGTATAATTTAAAATGAATGATACAACTTCTTGTAATTTAAGCGTAGAAAAAAGATATGAACACTTAAAATTATTTTTTAGTAATATCACTAGTTTAATTTTTGAATTAAAAGACTTAATGAAAGTTCATGAAATTTTAATCTATAAGGCAAAATTAGAAGCTAATGAAAAAGGAAATTTTAAAAAAAATCAAGAAGAACTTATGATATTGAAACAAAGTAATATAAAAATTTTTAAAGAAATCTTAAATAAGAAAAAAGAGAAATAATATTTTATTCAATAGATGTGTTGTAAATATATATTTGTTAAAAAAAAAAAATCTTTGTAAACAAAAAGTAACATAAATTATATAAGCAATTAAAAAACATAAGACACAATTTAAGTTCTTTATTAATTATTAAAATTAAAAGTATTTTTAAAATAAATTTTTAAAGTTTTTTTTTTTTTTTTTATAATTAAAAAAATATAAATAAAAAGAAAAAATTTTTATTAATATAAAATAATATGCAATTAAATATATGAAATATAGATTACAAAAAGAAAAAAAAAAATTATTTTTATAGAATTTGAATTAATAAGAAAAGAAAATGATAAAATGGAAAATCAGCTGAAATATTATAAATCTATTAATGATTCTATAAATTCTCAAATTAATCATACTTCAGATAACATACAAAAAATGAAATCAAATATTATTTTAGAAGAACAAAAGTAAAATAAATATAAACTTTTTATGTTAAATATTTCTTTTATTATATTTTTAAAAATAAATTTCTTATTAAAATTTTCTTTATTTTAAGGAAGATAGAAATGAAAAAACACATAAACGACCTAAAATGTGTAAGAAAAAAATAATAAAATTAAAAGATTATATTATATACAATTATTTCAATGAAGAATGTTTTAAAAAATTATTAAGTTATTATTTATTTATATTTTTTGTTTTTTCTTTAATAAAGAAATATTGTAGAACTTTAAAACAAAAACAAATACTGGATGATAACTTTTTACATTTAACAAAAGAAAACAAAAAAAACTATAAGGAAAATAAAGAAGTAAATATATATATTTTTTTGTTTATTACAATATGTATAAAGGAAAATATATTTATTTTTTAGATTAATAGTTTATTCAAAGAATTAGAGATTAAAATTGAATCTGTTACATCTAACAGTGAAAATATAATAGAAAAGTAGGTAGATAAATTTTTCCTTTTATTTATTTTTTACTGAAAAAAACATAAAAAATATATATTACCTTCTTATTTAAAATATCTCATTTATTTTGTCTTTTTTTTTTTTTTTTTTTTTTTTTTTTTTTTTTTTTAATTGTAAAATTATTACACATATGTAAAATTAAAATAACAAAAATATTTTAAAAAAATATACTTTTCTTTATGCTAAAATGTTAATATGCTCATATAATAATATTTTTTTTATTCTTTGAAATAATTTAATTTAATTTTAAAATTTTTTTTCTAACGTTTTAGGGAAATGAATTAACAGAATTGATGTGATAATGTTTGTAATAACAGTATTTCCATAAAAAAAAAATTGTAAAATTATATTTTGGTAAAAAAATTAAAAATGTTTTTATATAATTTTGTATTATTTTATATTTACTTATTTGTTTATGGTTTTTTTAGAAAAAGTTTGAATACGGAACTATGAAATAATCAAATTGTAAAAAAAATATCAAAGTAAACTAATTTTGAAAAGAAATGTGAATTTTATATATATGAAATATTATAAATGATAGGAAATCAAAATATTTTTTAAAATTAAGTTATTTTTACATATTTAAATTAATACATCTAAAAAAGAATATATTTATTTTTAGAATTAACATAAATAAAATATATAATTTTATAAATACTTATCATGTAATCACTATAAAAATGGTGACTTTTTTTTTTTTTTTTTTTTTT